CTCTCTCTCGCTCGCTCGGGTAAAGGCTTCAAATAAACATTATTTCTTGGGCGTTGTTTCGTGCATTTTTATATTCGCTGGCATGGCGCTTCGCTCTCGCTCTCATGACAGTTGCAGGTTAGAGAACGTCATGACATCATCGGTGATATATCCAATTGCGTCACGACCAGTCAGGCTGCTCGCCCAAGGATGCGACAAATCGTGATGACGACGCGAGGCAAAGTACACGCCGGTCCACCAGCGTAAATTTCAGCTCCCAAAGTAAATACACGATCTGGTCATTTCTCGGACAAGCGACTTCTCAACAGCAAATCTCGCAATCCGATGCTTTATTCATAAGCTACGCGTAAAAATAGCCGCACAATGGGTACTATCAGTCGAGGTAGCAGTTGGCTTCCTCCGCTGGATTCTTTTGCCAACAAGTGGTTACAGACACGTGGTCTGACCGATAGCGCGGGCTCGACAATTGGCTTTTGTCGGAGACTTCGCGGCTCTCGTGACGATTATTCCCGCTTGAATTACCGTCGATTCCGCTCGAATTGTTCCAATAATTGCGTCAACGTGCCGATGCATTCACAAGAATGTCACAATCCTCAACAAATAAGCGCGCCCACAAGTATCCAAGCAGAACATCACGATAACGTCAAGATGACAAGAAAATGACCGAATCGTGATTAAAAAGTGAATCCTTCAGTCGTTTTCTCGTCATTTCAACGTTATTTTGACGTCATGGATACTCTCCAAGCTCCCCGCATTTCGTCTCATTTATTCGTTTTTTTTCATTTGCTCGCTCATTTATTCATTTTATTTGTTTTGTTGCATGCTTGAGCGGGAACAGATGACGTAACGTCGGTTTGTTCAGCCGTGAGGAACACGTGTACGGCATTGCCCCATCGCTACCCTCTGCTTTCCCGGGGTAGCCCGGGCGAGCGGGAGACCGTCATCGATCCACAACCCTCTCGCCGTGCTCCAGAATCGCTTTTATTCCTCCGTTCGATGCACCCGCGCACTCCGAAGCGCTTGATCCCGAAGCCGAAAGCGACGGCACGCAAATTCATCTCGCGCGTCATTGCACGTCGCGCTCGATTTCCAAGAGCGTTCCGCGTGATTTTGTTGTTCACGATCGGCCGATCGTGCTTCCTCTCTCCCCACCTCTCTCGTATCGCGAAGATTGAGATAATCTTCATTTTGCAAAGCCGCAGAATCAAATCCGATGAAGTTCCCGGCTCATTCAATGCCTCGGTGCACCGTCAAAGAGCCAGTCATTGCGCTCGGCTTCGTCCTTCTGTCCGACTTGGTAATCACGATCGCGCGCCGATTGGATCTTTAATTTCGCATCGCGGCTTCGTAAGTTCATCCGTGGTATTATCAGTCGGATCTACGTTGATCCTCTAGTGCGAGTGGAACGCGCGATTAGCTGTTTGCTGACGCCTGTCTTCAAATTACGCCGACTAATCACTCACTCTTCGTTGCTTCCGACTACATTCCTCGTCGTGTAAATAAGCGCATATTCCAGATCGGCGTTGGCAATTTCGGCATAGCGATAACTGATGTTGACACCAAGTATGAGACAAATGAGTGCATAAGCTTGCAAATCTTCATCGCATCTACAGCGTGATAAGTAAATGTCATAATGAAATATTGCACGCGATTTCGTGAAGGGAGATTCAAAAATTTTAAATATCTCGAGGAGATTTAGTCGCCCGCACGAAAATGTTTCGTGAGATTTTCTCCACAGAAGTAAAACTCAGTTCGTTTAACTGATTTTCTGGTGCCTGGACTACTACACACATACACACACATATACACACGGAAACTCACTTGTAGCAGCAGAAAAATTCTCGAGTATTTTTATTCAGTCAAATGTTTTCAGTGATCTTAACCGTGTTTTCACACAGACGGATATTTAAATGAATATTCTCGGATACATTGAGAGAAATTATCCCATAGAAAATTAACAAACGGATATTTCCGATCAAAATACCGATGAATTTTTATGTTCGATTAAATTTAATAGAATATTTCCGATCATAATGGCATTTCATCAGATAAACGGATGAAAAAATTATGAACTGATATTTCTCATCGGATGTTTCCTGATCGGATAGAAAAATTCATCGGTACTTTGGTCGGAAATAACCACATGTTAATTCCTTATCGAATAATTTCTTTCAATGTAATAGACGTTTCTTGTCATTCAACTTTGGTCTCTGGTCTCCGTTTCGATTTTTCCAAGGCTTTTTTTCCATGTGGAATCATGCATAATACGTCGTGTATAATTAGCTTTCTCTCAGACGTGACATTTACTTTTGAATGGCCTTCTCCCTTCTCCCTACCCTCTCAATGCTGCTGATCCTACTAATTTGTTTGAAAGACAGGTTTAAATAACTCGCTCCTTCGATTTTCACTGAATATTTTTGATAATTCTGTTATGTTTAAATTTAAATGCTATTAAATGCGACACATTTGATTATTAACTCTCAGTATATCGTCGTAATGTTGATTAAATTAACGGATCAAATTATTCCATAAAGAAGATATTGAACAAATCTTCCCCAAGTTCTTTGGAAACTTCTAAAAAAGAATAAAAATTCTAAAACATCAATCCCTTTAGAAATAATTTGAACTACTCAAAGATGAAAATTCAAAACTAAAATTTGATTTAATGGTTCGAAAGTTATCAAGTGTACTAGATGTGTGTATAATAAATTGTCATAGTAAATATATATATATATATATATATATATATATATATATATATATATATATATATATATATACACATGGAGAGAAATTATCCGATAAAAAATTAATAAACGGATAATTTTTTATCGGTTAATTTCTCTCAGTGCACGTGTAATAATGTTAACATTTTTAATGTGCAAAAATCAAACAGCTTTCTATAATGTTTGCGCCTTTAACATATCTTCACGTATTCCTTCGACATCAACACGGCTTTAACTTTTAAATTTCAGTCAGATTTCAAATAAGATTCAGTTTTATATCAGTCAAGCTGACGGAAACTCGTCTTAAGTGAAATTATTCCTTCGAATGATTCTCTCAAGGTTTCGCGAAATCTGCGGTTCCTTGTGAAGCGCGGGAATCCAAAGGATCGATGAATCCCATCTACTGGCAGAATCTGGTATACGATGCAGACTCGACCTCGTCTCTCACGTAATCGTAACTACCACGTGGTGATGTTTACGATTTATTCATAAGTAAAATGTTTGAAGATCGGTCATGAATTGGAAATTAATCGTTGGAGCGCTATGAGGCCGCGCAATACACTATGAGAACAAAGATGTTGTTGTCCTGATAATAGCCTCGAACATTTATCACTTGCAGATCAACACGACGAGTCAATGAGTCAAGTGTTATCAAACATTAAGGAATGTTCCAATAATTAATGTCGAAGTTGCTTTTTATGTCGCTCTCCTCGAGTTTAATTATTTTCTAAACACTGTACGCGAGATAGATGACAATGTCAATAATGCCGTTGTCTCCTTGTGAATAACTACCCTCGCGACTGATGAGAACGTCAAGGCTCATGTTACTTCACAATCATTACTTGAAACTTGTCTCACATGAACTACTCAGCTAGTCAGATTATAAAACTCAGAACTGAATTTGATTTTTTTCATTGAATCATACACGTGACACTATATTTATAATTGTGATTCAACCGAGAAACTCACATCTCAATTCCAATCCGAGTATCTCAGCGGAGGCAAATTTCAAGTAACGACTATTAATATAGATCTGAAACATTATCACTCGCACTCTGACGATTACTTCAACTTTTTCTAAGCACGCGCGAAGAGAGAGAGACGGAGAGAGAGAAAGAGAGAGACGAGGGACGAGTCTACCTAGACGCGACGCGTGTTGGTCCAGCAGCATCCACACGTCGTCGGCTCGCTCGCTCACTCACTCACCGATATTGACGATCCTGATTCCCTCGTCCTCCAGGAACTTGAGAGCGACCGACACGTTCTCCAGCTTCTGCGAGCGAAAGGTGGGCCTCTGGTTGTGTTTCGGCAGTCGCTTCTGCGCGAGCACCTCGATAAGGCTCACCAGCCGGAGACCGTCGGACAGGTCGCATTCCAGGTCGCCGATGTGCTTGTTCACCGCCTTCAGCCGCTCATTCGCCCACCTGGTGAAGGTGTTCTGCTGGATCCGCTTCCATTGCGCGTCCTCGGCCAGTTCGCGCTCGAACATCTCGTCCTCCTCCTCCTCGGCGGAGTTCTCGCACTTAACTGACTTATCATTCTCATTCATTTTATCGGCCGGTCCGCTTCTACAATCTCACGGACGAGGCTGGTGGGGATGCGCGCCCCTGTGTGTGTGTCAGTACCTGCGAATCACAGTGTTGGTAGTCGCGAACGCCTGTCATTGACATGAACGGGGACGCATTTGTATTGGTGATTCGCGAAGTAGCGATGGGCACAAACTCACATCGATGTGGAATTTTAAAGTAAAAGCTCCGCCACGCTACAAAGGCTGTACGCACGTTGCTGTTGTGTGTACGCTACAAACGAGAAGAGAGAGAAAGAGAGAGCTTATATTTGGTGTATTTGTTGTTCTTGAAAGTTGGCCTTCAGATTCGCGTCTCGAATTCGGATCTTTGGATTTATATGTACACGGTGTCCCAAGATTTTCTGACTAAACTTCATGATTAGAAATAGAAAAGTGTGTTATGCAAATATAAATATTCGGAGCTTTATTGAGAAAAAAAGATACTTGAAAATTTATTAGTGGGGCGTAAAATTTATTCACAGAAATAAACTTATACTCCACAAATAAATTCTCATATATTTTCTCAGTAACTCATTCAGTTGTAAAACGTAAAATATGAAGAAAACAATAAAAAAAATTTACTAGCGTGTGATACAAGGTAGGAATAAATCGACAATATTCGTCTAACCGGTACATGCCAGCTGTGTTTGATTCTTTAGGAGAGAGATCACTGAAGGTGATGAATCTTTATCATTACCATTAGAGCAAGTTGTACAACTTTATACCGAAATGCCATTGATTCCCATAACTGTAAAAGCAAGTCCACTGTAGTTTCATACTTTTCTTATAATTAATAAAGCTTTAAACCTATGTTGATGGAACGCTTTTTCCTTATTTTTATTCATAGAATATATCGACGAAGTTTAGTCGAAGAATCTTCGGACACCGTGTACAAGTTGCTTGAATTTGTCTCTCCTCTTCTTCTCGTCTGCATTGTAATTTTCTTGCGTTTCTAATAAGACGTATGACCGGTGTTGCACCTGATATTCCTCTCCTAAGCATTCCTCTCCTCGTTATAACAATTTCATAATGAGAAAATGAAGAAATGCCTCAAAATTATCCTGATATTGCGATATCAAATACTTGTCTTCATCTTACGGATGTTAATGCTCTTCTTTTCAGCAACAGGCGTTAACGCCGCTCGAGAGAACGTCGTGTCCATCGCTAACGCGAATACGCACACCTGTACAATTGTCGCAGAAGAGGTGGATATCGGTGAGTCTACCTGCGATCCGCACGTACGTGCGCCGGCGAGTCGGACGCGCGTGTGGGTGTCGTATGCGTGCGCGGACAACGCTGACACGATCAGCTGGAGCGACTCCTTTTCGCGCGAAGTCAGTTCACCAGCAGAGATTGCACTTCAGATTTGAGGATGCGTTAACCGGGAGAGGCTTTCCTTGGGAGCGATATGTCGTCTCCTTGGAGCACCTTTTCAGGGTGGTCGCTCGTCTTGATTAGCAGCGACGATTCAAAACCTGCGAAAACCTATCGCGATTAAAGGATTGCCGACGATCGAAGTGGTCGAACGAAGAGTGAACTTCGAGCAACGACTTATTATTATTATTAATGAATTCATATAATATAGAAAATTCGTGTATACACAGAGAATATTGCAATAAAAAATACGTTAGAATTATATTTCGAAAATATGATGATTTACCTGGTATAATATAAATATATAATATAATATAATTATAATATAATTATAATATAAAATATATTTAAGTAATTGCAATAATTTTGTGATAAAAAGTCAAATATATATAACATTTTTAAACAAATAGATAATAATTTAGCTCATAATTCTATACAGTCCAAAAATTTTGTTGTAATTTTTGCTATATTTTCTCCATGTACTTCAATTTGGAATAAACATAATTATATATTAAAAGTAATTATAATAATTGTAAAATAAAATGTTAAACGTACATAATATTTTTAAACAGATACATAGTAATTTCGCTCATAACTCTGTATAGTCTAAAAATTTTGTTGTAATTTTTGTTACAATATTTTCTTCGTGTACTTCATCAGAATAATTTGAAATAAACAAAATCATGTATTGAAAGTAATTACAATAAGTGTGCAATAAAACGTCAAAAGTACATAACATTTTTAAACAGATATATAGTAATTTCGCTCATAGTTTTGTATAGTCCAAAACTTTTGTTGTAATCTTTGCTACAATATTTTCTCCGTGTAATTTTACGAGTAATTTAAAATATACATAATTATAAATAAAACTCAGCTTATCTTTCACTAGTAGAAAACAGATTTTTTAAAATCGAGTGCAACTTATCGAATCGTTTGAATCCGCGAAAACACGACGTACTGATCAGTCTCGCTCGAGTGGAAGTTTCGCGCACGTGATCAGACTAAACTGTCCGGCCTCAACATGACTTACGTTCGGGGTCTATCCATAAATAAAACGTCTAATTATAAATAGCGGCACATTCGGAGGAAATTACCCTCATGCGTTTTTCTTTATTTACGCACGCTGAATTATACTATGTATTTTCCTTGAACATAAATTTATTATGTGTTTAGCTCACAATTAAAATATTTAAACCGTAGTCTTGAGGCGAAATAAAAGAAGAGAGTTATGCCAGTTGGTTGGAAAATCCATTTACGCATCGAACACCGTTCCTCTCTAAGCAAACCTGCCGTCAGATTCTTCGCACATAATAGAAAATTAATCGGACGCACGCTAAATTACGATTCACGAAGCACGGCGAGATGCCAAGATATTTTTGGTGCGCGCGCATATACGCGACTTTTTTCCAAGGTCTGATATTACATCTCTGAAAGATAAACTAGAAATGCGTGAACATTGTCTGAAATCCGAATAAACAGTCTCTCTGACGTTTTCGAGGCGATCTCTTACAGAAGGAAGGCGTAATAATTCACAAAATCACATCCGGCTATAAACACGCAATTGCGTAAACGTTAATAATAAACACGCTGCGATATAGTCGTGCGAAATACATTCTGATTCAATGTATATCGGCACTGCGCGCAATAGTGAGATGCAGAATGTTCGGCCACACCATTAGCAAATAGCGATTTCTACAATATAAAGTCACGTTTCCAAAAGAATTATACAATATCAAATCTATGAAAGAAATATAGTTTTCTTTCTACATCTATATGCACACAAATATACGTTCTTTAAAATAAATTTCACGATATAAAATAGCCAACAAAATTCTTATTGATACACAATTGGCGTATTTGTACATATTGTTATCTATAATTATCTATGAAATTTGTTACGACGGATGATGACGTTGAGGCACGATTTTTTATCTCAGCACTTCACAGTCAAGAACAAGGTTCGCAACGCCACTTCATTCAAAGATAGATCTATAATTCGAAGCTGTCATCGAATTTAAAAATTTCAACTGCCTCTATATTAGTTTTTCATCTTTATTCTCTCGTTCTATACGTAGATTGTGCAAATGTATAGTCCGTAATAAATGATTTCTCCTTCGACACATTCTCAAATTTTCCAAAAATTCACTTTGCGTCATCAGCGAAATATCGACTTATTTAAATCCATAATAAGAGAAACCGAACCCAAAAACCGACACAATTTGAAAAACTCAAAATAAAGAAAATACGCCACTCTCTCGACGAACTTCCAAGTGTGTTCCAGAGTGATTAGAAAATTATCACATTGCACACGAACTTATTTATATCGCCCAATTGGGTACAACTTTACCTCGCGCGATCAAGCGATTCTCTATCAACGGTCGACGATAAACTGTCGGCGAGGAGTCGCACGTCGTCACGGCTCTTCGCGATGCCGCGCTCTTAAAATCCTCCCCGCACTGTACCGTTCTCCAAAAGTAAGTTGCATTCGCAATTAACGAATCCACGAGCAAATTACGAACCGGTCACGAGCGGAATATAAATGAATCGCGTATGTGTAGTGAGAGCATATTGTCAACAATGTGTACGCGAATTAATATAAATCTGCAGACAGAAACCATCATTCTAACATGTTAACAATAATAAAAGCGATTTAATTTGGTCTCCTTCTTTTGAGTGATAATTATTCTTAGCAAAACATATTTTCTTGATAATAAATTATAAATCTGCAGACAGAAAAGCAATTCTACTGCCAACAATAAGAAAAGCGGCTACTCATTATAATTTGGTTTCCTTCTTTTAAGTAATAGTTATTCTGAACAAAAAATATTTTCTTGATAATTCTCTTGAAAATATACTTATCAAAAATAAACTTAATATACTTAAAATATACTTAAAATACTTATACTTGAAAATATACTTAATATACTTATCACAAAATTGAAAAAAAGCTCATTATCAAGAGAAAAATTGGTATATTCAAAAGATGTGTATGTACTCAAAAGAAAGATTGACTCTCTTTATAAGATTATTGTTACAAAATTGTATTAAAGAAAAAATTGTTTTTGTGTAGTAAGCAAACCGAATTTATAATTTAATTTAATATTCCTCATTGAAATACTAGATTTCATTAGGTAAATTTGCAAATATATAAACTTATGAAGTACTTGAAACAAGTAATATTTACTTGAATGCAATATGTATTGTTTTCTTTGCAAGTGCGAATCTTTTCCCTACACAATGAGATAAATAAGTTCCATTGCCAAGATAAAAAAATTAATATGATAATATTAAAATTATTATCATAAACTACACATTTGAAAAAACTCATGAAATCATATATTCAAAAGAAGAATTTATCCTTTTTACAAGATTACTATTATCACGAAACTGTATCGACGAAAAAGTGTATTTATTTATTTGTAGAAGTTTTTATATGATTGTATTTATTTGAAATTGTACGTGTATAATATGAAATTATGTATAATATGAAATATAATTGAAATTTATGTGTGTATGTGTTTGTATTTTTTTTTCTATGCAAAAAGAGGTAAAAAATTATTTTTTCAAATTAGCATGAAGATCTTGTAATGACAACGGGAGGAGAAGGAAACACTCGCGGTTTACACATCTGAAACAGTGCAATAAATTTTTACACTTTTTCAACAGAAATTTTACCTCAAACTCGCGATTGCTGTGGCAATAATTGTCAGAAATTGATAAATCGTGATGAACGATATTTCAAACATTCAGAAGAAAGTAATGCGATATTCACAGAAGACTTCCTGCCGAGAGAAGGAAAGAATTAATGTAATACTTCGAGACGAAACAACCGACGTCACTTTCTAACAGCAACACGATGCAACACTTGAATACTTGCTTATCACATCATTACACTTCGATCGTTGTTTCCTTTTGCCTGCGCGTCGCGCGGCAAGACGTCGGTTGTTTCATAAATAAAATAAAACAAAAATAAGAAATCGACGAGTGAATCGAGACCAGTGCTAACCGTAATTATCGATGCAATATCGGGATCACACACGGGGGGATTGTCGCATACACGTCACCGGGGGATGACGATATTCGGATCGCGGAACGGCGCGACGCTGGCTCGATCGGTGCACGACGCGGTCCGCAAGCGATTACTGACGTTTACGCCGCTAACCGGGAGACGAACACGCCGAAAGAAGTTACTCGGACTCGTCAAGTTGTCCGAGAATAGTACGCGCTCCCTCGCCACCCCCTGGGACGAGGGGTAGAGGGCCGGTCTATATATATACGCACACGCGTCGTGTGGAAGGAGCGGGTTTATATTCGTATGTGAAGGAAACAAAAGTGAGAAACGAGTCGGGTCGCGCCCACAGACTGGCGTGACACTGACGAGAGAAGAAACTTAAACGGTCATTGTTGCACGCTGCGCACTGCGATACACCCGGTGATATCCAATTCCGCTGGTACATCGCTGTTTCACGTCACGATAGCGGTTTTAGCGGTTTTAGCGGTCACTTCCAAGCACTTCCTTCCCTCCTAAGAGGAAGTGAGTCGCGTTTCAGCGCGGGTCTCGCTTAAGCCTCTGAATGACCATGTATTTTCGCTATCTTCGAAGTGACAATTAGGCTCATTAGTATCTTTCTCGAGTTTCCTTCCCTTAGGCTGTTCGAAGGAAGCCCCAAAAATTATCGAAACTTCCTCGACCTTTCTAGCTAAAGATCGCGCAGTTCTCTTGTGAAAAATAGACTGCTAAGTATTTTATTTTTAATGAATCCGAGGCAAAAAATATCTCGAACACTTCTTAAAATATTTCGAGCAGAAATGATCCTGGTTGTCACTCGAAGAGTTAAACACGAGTATCGCGCGAGTATCAACGCTTAGATAGAACAAATGTCTCAAACAATACAATCGAAAGACATCTGAAAGACTAGAAAGGTCTTTTGGAAATTTATGTAAAATTGTCTTTGCTACAATTGTGTTGTCTGGGATGCACATGTGAGAACCAATATTCTATAGCAGAGTTTTTCAAACAGTGAGTAGCAAAATAAATAAAATGGACCAGAAAAAATGCACAAAAATGCTTGGAACGCAGCTCATAAAACAAGACTTTTCTGAAAATAAATTCACTTTTCTTCACATCCCCTTTGTATTCTCTGGGGAGATCAGTTTTCCAGTTTCAAATTACTTCAGAAAATGTACTGTACTCGTAATGATGTAGAAGATTTATCGTCAAGAAAATAGTGTTACTCTTTTCTATGTTATAAGATAAATTCGAAATCGTAAAAGGAATTGCGTTGATATAACTGTTCCTTATGTTGTGCTTAATACTCTATTATTTACCTTAAACACATGTTAAAATACAAGATGCAGTTTCTGCAGTGGGTTGCAGTCAAAAAAGTTTGAAAAACGCTGCCCTCTAGAGATGTATTATTTCTATAAAAAGACTCTGAAATATATATGTTCAGGTGGTGAGAGTGATCCAACTCCTGATATTTTACTTTCAAATTAAAAATAAAGCTTCTGTCCCGCTCTCTCCTGAACATTTTTACATTTCGCACACCTATCGACGTGTCTATCTATAAAAAGTGCGACCCACAAACGCGTTCTTTCCGAAAGGTAGAAAGGTAGAGTCGCGCTGGAGCGCTTGTGTGTTGCGCTGGAGCCTTATGCTAAAAATCGTTGCCCATATATGGGGCGCTCTGGACGTGACGAGCGAATGTCGCAGCGCGTACAAGACACTCGAAGCGAGTTACCGTTTAGCTCTCCACCGAAAGAGTTTCTACTTATAAAGACGCGGCGACCATACACGGCCAAAAGTCGTGATTACGCGACTTGCTCCTCCTTCCTCTCTCATTACGCCATGCGAGATCCGGCGAGCCTTGAGCAAGCACGGATTCGACAGCAGTCTTCATGATACATTCGACATGAAGGTCATGCGCTCTGGCAAAAGTCAGAGATTCAATCTACTGTCAGGCACTTTTTGATCATTTCGACGGAATGCATAGACGATTGGGAGCGATGCGAGCTCGCAGCCTTAACGAGTTCTAATCGTGTTGTTCTGCGAACGTTACTTGACGAGAAATAATTATGCATGCCTTCAAAAAAAGACTAAAGAAATATTGTATACACCTGGTCGTACAAAAACGTAACTAAAATACGCTATAACGCTTCACAACAGGCATCGCACACTGCAAAAGAATTTATACAAATTAGAAATATGTAACAAACACGCGAATCCTTTCACTCATCCTTTCGAGACGTATTTCTGAAAAGTTGCACACACGTAAACTAAATCTTGTATTTAACGAAGTCGAAAGATTCATAGCAAATGATAAGACTCTTCGAAACTCGCATACGGCAAAAAAGCTGAAAGAAACTATTTAAAAAATTAAGATTTGAAACAGAATATACATATTTATTTTTTTCTTGCAATATATATAAATTGTTCTAGGTTTACCTAAAAAAATTAATGTATTTACAAAGTAAAAAAAGCATATACATACAGAATGATTTAGCAACGCTGCCAACTATGTAACTAATAAATGATACAATTCTTTCTGTTCGTTCCTTACAGAGATCTGTAAAAACAAATTGGGATCGAGTGTCTAATAAATGAACAAATTATAACAAAATATTCTAAATATATCAAATGCAATTCCACATGCTATATCTTTCTAAAAAGACCAATAAAACAAAAAAACGCACTTATACCATAATAATTGTAAAATATAATGTATATAAAAATTCCTACAAAAAAAAATTTAATGTGGAAGTATTTGATTGTATCATATTATACAAACAGTAGCGTAAATATAATATCACCCCCCTCCCGCTTCACGAATTGTGCTTTTGTATGGAGTTATTACTCCCTTGCATTAAAACTAGCGAGGTTTCCAGTCTTGAATAAGTATGAGTTGACAACGCGTACTGTCGTATCGATATAGTTACGCTTTTACAGAGATTACCGCTTTTTTCGCCGCTTCGTCTAAGTTATTCGCTGTGACAATGGGCAATCCCGATTCGGCTAAAACTTTTTTGGCTTCTGTCACGTTAGTGCCTATAAAAAGAAAGCAAATAAACTAATAAAAAATACTTAAAATTGATTATAAATTTTATCACGCAAAAATATAAGCAAAAATAGATAAAAAATCATACGAAATTATACAATTAAAAAAGTAAAACTTAGAAGAATTAGGCTTTTCTGTTATGCATATGTGAGAGAAAAGAAATTGAGGTACACCTTACCTTCTAGCCTGACAACGAGCGGTATTTGAAGTCCTAAGTTACGCGATGCTGCGATAATTCCCCTCGCTATTGTTGCGCAATTCACGATGCCTCCAAAAACGTTAACGAAAATAACTTTGACTTTTGGATCTGAGAAGAAAAGATAGAAGTCTGTTAGCATCTCACATTCGTATCTAAATTAGTACTCCTACACATACCTTCACTAAGTATTCTAAATGCTTGGAAGACTTGCTCCTCTTTCACGTTACCGCCAACATCCAGAAAGTTAGCAGGCGATCCCCCATTCAACTTAATAATATCCATTGTAGCCATAGCTAAGCCAGCCCCATTTACTATACATACGGAATACGAGATTTGTTATGTGTATATTTTTGTTATTATGTTGTTATTATATCGTTGTTATGTATTTTTATCTATTAATTATACGTTAATACTTGTGTAGAGCTGTATATGCCTTATGAGACATTAACATGTTACATACTGATTAATATTTCATAATTTTTATATATATAATTTCTCTTATTCGTTCAAATTATATATTACTTATTATAATATGTTTATTATATATGTTACTTATTATATATGTTACTTTATTTGTTGTGGTAAGTAATAAAATGTTTTACCTAAACATCCTATGTTGCCTTCCATGCCGATATAATTCAAGTTGAAACGCGACGCATCCACTTCACGGGGATCCTTCTCGGTAACATCCTCTAAGGCGAACAGATCCTGCTGTCTAAATTGAGCATTGTCGTCGAACGCGATTTTCGCGTCCACCGCTATCACTTGCTTGTCTTTCGTTTCCACCAATGGATTGATCTCAACTTGCAGAGCATCGATGTCCACGAACAGCTTCCACAGATTCTTCAATTCGTACATGGCTTTCTTAAGGATATCGGGATCAGAGAATCCCAAGAAGATGCTCACATCTTTCGCTACTTCGTCGTTAATTCCGTGATAAATGTCCAACGGAACGGTTTTGATCTGCTCAGGGTTCTTCTCTGCCACAGTCTCAATGTCCATCCCACCGGCGGGAGATGCTATCAGCACCGGGCCGTTATACTCTCGATCCATGAGAATACAGATGTAAGTCTCGCGTGCAATATCTACTGACTCGGCGATCATAATTTTCTGCACTGGTATACCATCCTTCGAAGTCTGCTTAGTGATAAGCCGATGGCCAAGCATATTCTTCACGTAATTTGAAACAATATCACGGCTGTTAAAAGACCAAGGAAGAAAGGAGTTATACAAACATATTGTTAATTACAAAAATATCAATATCTAAAACAGGATGTCTAAAACAACCGCTACAATTTTGAGTTATTTATTTATTAAAGAGAATTGGTGAATGATCGCGCAGTGCAGGATGTGACGGTAAGTATAATTTCCGTTGTACCTTTATCAATCAAATTAAACAAACAGATCCTCTACCATTTTGCAAATAACTAATTTTGCAAATAACTAATTTGCAAATAACTAATTTTTTTTAGTAACTAAAGATTTATTGCGCGCAATTATTCGCTAGTTTCCCTTAATTAATAACTCAGAAATCTATTTGTGAAATAATAGGGAACTTTTTAGTTTACAAAGGCAAATGTTTAATATCTCTAATATCTCTATCTAATATTGAAGATAATAAGATAATCCCTTGTTGTAAATCATATGTAAAAATAGGAAAGGGACATGTTGAATATTTTTTGTGTGTGAACATAGTAATAAGAATATTAGAAGATAATTTTTTGTTTCCATGGCATATGTAGTGATATAAGCAAACAAATCACATACATCATTTAAATCAGAAATCACTTCTAACTTTGAAAGGATTAGTTCTTTGACTTATGTCTACTAACCATTTTTTATTCAGTTTAGTAAGTACTATCTTATAAGTCCTGAATCCTTTTTTATAACATTATATATATAAGAGAAATTTATTAGTAAAATATCTTTAACTATATCTTGTAATATTTATAAAAAGAAAAGTCTCAGTACTTACTCTCTGGTAAGATGTACACCTCCTTTAAATCCATTATCGAACCAGCCTTTACCACGGCCTCCAGCTAACACTTGGGCCTTAATAACATATTCACCCTCATCTGTGTGTATAAATATAAATATAATAATATCTCAAAGCTATTGATGTATGTTTTCGATAGCAGCTTCCAAAGATTAGCAAAGCTAGCAAAGAATTACCTAGCTTAGCAAAAAAATAAACATAATATAACAGAGTTACTACAATTATAAAATACTATATGTATATATCTAAGAATATGTACAGCTTTTATGTTTGCCTAAAGTCAAAGTAGTCAAAGTAATCAAATACAATAATATTAGCAACTACTCCCATTTCTTGCAAACTGTGAAATATAGATCATAGTCAGGTTTGATCTAACCAGAAAAAATTCTACATTCATATGAAATACAAACAGCCTTTAGCAAAAAAATTGCACGATCATCTTCAAATCTAATATTCTGCAAAGCAAACATAGTTCTCACATATTGTAAAATATAAATATATAAGCAAGGAACATTAAATTAACGCTTAGAAACGTTGACTTCATGTGCATTGTTTGGATATTTTTTAATAATATTGCATTTATATTTTCCACATGTTATTTTGCGATATGATTTTGCTGAATGTTGTTTAAATGTTTCAAAAACATTACAAAAAATATATTTTTCAAATGTTACTTTAACATTTGAGATCAATGCAACATCTTAAAAATATTTCTGACGATTAAAACGTTATGGTAACCCTATTTCAACATTACTGAAACTTCCAAATCGCGGTCAACGTATGTTTATAATGATGTTCGATGATATAATATTAAACACTACATATTTGACAATATTACAGGTTCTTGAATATCATTGTAGTAACGTTGTATTAATGATTTCTTGCTTGCTGGGAGTTTTTACATATTATAAAACGATATAAATATATAAGCAGAAAAAAATACGCTCAAACACTCACGGAGCTTTTCCAGAGCCGAACTCGTCTTGGTTAAGTCATCGACGATAGCGAAATTTTGTACCGACACGCCGCAGTCACGTAGAAGTTCTTTGCTCTGGTACTCCAGCAGGTTCAGGTTTCTCGTACCCGATACGCAAACGGCCTCCGTGTTTCTTCTGAGGAGACGCGTCATGCGCACCGAACGGTTGAGAATTCGCAACATGACTGATAACCTGCAAAGTCCCGATGTCTCAAATAACCGAAGAAAACGGAAGAAAGTGATTCAAACAAGCATTGCTATCATATGCACGAGTTGCGATAGATATTGACTTAGATAACTACTCACATACCGTCGAGAAGTAGAACATTCACAGTTGTTTCTCGCCGAATATTTTTATCTCGCCCGCAGAAAGTTTCGACAAGATAAGGTTATATCTAGATGAACTTTCTACACTTTAGTGCAATATATCAATACCCATAAAATTTAAATTTTCATCTATCTTGATTAATTGAACATAGTTCAATTTCTTTTGTATATGATTTAAATTCTTTCGTAATCCTATATAAATATTAGTAAAAAGATATACAAGTATAATAAATTAATTAAAAATAAGATTATTTCTATCAGTCACGAAAAATAGACAAAATTTAACAAAATTTAACTTTCATAGAGATAATAGTAATGAGAATCTAACAAGAGAATGTTGTAGAAGAATATTACATTACATACTATAATATTCTTGACTGTAATATACATGTGCATGATATATATATATATATATATATATATATGTGTGTGTGTGTGTGTGTGTGTGTGTGTATGTGTGTGTATACACATATCATATACATATATATATATATATGTGTAGACACACACACACACATGACATGTATATATATATGCATGTGTAATATTCTTTTTTTGGACTATCTTATTACTATTATCTCTATGGATGCTAAAGTTTATTAAATTTTGTCTATATGTATATATATATATATATAATTATATATATAATTTTCTATATTTGATATTACATATCTATACTTTGCTTGTACATATAAGATAGGATGATAATAGCGATGCATAAATGCATTTTTGTGTATTTTATTAGAATAAATTATATAAAATAAAATACAGCGATTGCTTCTTTCTTTTATCAGAGAAACGAACGTTGCAATTTTCCAGTTTCCAAAACTAAAATAAAGTACTCCTTAGAAGCGTTAGAGAAATGAAAATTGCGGCTGACAATTGCAGCGATCGCTTCTTATTGTAGAAACACAATAGCTGTGATATAATCTTCTAAATAATACTACTTGGATATACATGGACGGACCTTTACGTCGATTAATGTACATTATATATGTATATATATACCCAGTAAGCAATCTACGCAGATTGACGTCAGATTGATGACAAATTCGAGCAGAATCTGTCGACAGATCCATAGATATCTGCATCCCCAATCTGCTGTTAGATTGTGGACAGAGTCTGATAAACAGATACTGTGTACAATCTGTTGCTTTTCTGTCACAGACGCTGCTAACAGATTTAGCTCTGTACAAAATATGCTTGCGTAAGTTTAGCGCTATCTGGGTATATATATCTTAACGACGAATATATTTAAGTTTCTTGTAAGAAGTTTGTTTACGTTTTTTTTACTATTTTACTCGAGATCTCTACCTCTTTTATCTATTCAGATCTAATTGCATCAACATATGTATTGCTGCGTGTATTCTCGCTATCTAAAATCGCGTTTAAGTATTACAACAATTTTATCAGTATTCTGTTTTATCAAGTGAATTAATGAAGGGCACATAAGAGCCTCAAGCTCGAGCCTTTATTGTACCAAAGAATTATAAACTTGAATGAAGTGTATACTTGAAATAAAATGTATGTATTGTGAATTATAAATTGACTGGTTTCAAGTTTATAATTCTTTGGCACACTCAAGCAAGACCCGTGCTTGAAGCTCTTATATGCCTTTTATTAATTTACTTGATTTTTAATCGTAAAGCCTTTTACTTATAATTTGTTAGTTCTGTGTTTGGCAAATCGACAGACAGAGCTGCCTCTTACGTAATATATGATAATATATTATATTCTTATATATAATATTAATTTCCTTTGTTAATTTAATTTAACAAATTTAATGTCTGTACCAAAATTGCGTACCATAAAAGGAGGAGGGCGTATTAGATGGCGGCGGGACGCCATCCTGCGTTCGAGATCTACGTATCTTTTTCGTTCCAGAAATAGAAAAATATCGAGAGCGTGGTTTTGCTAGGCCGAGACTCGAACCCGGCTCTTTCGCTTGCCGGGCGACTGCTCTAAACCACTGAGTTACTTGATGCTCCACGCTCACGACACTCTCCTCTCCTTCGATAACGCTCAGAGATGCCGTTCGGAAGCGACATTTCTGGCGCGATCCCGGCGCACTGGCGCACGGCGACTACAGAGAGAACCAAATGGTACAGCTGTCAGTTTCTCAAAGTCAAAAGTTGCTATCTTTTAAGACCTGCTGTCCATGTATGCCCGTCTCTACCGTTGTCCCTCCTCATCCGGTACGCATTGAATTTAATGTCTGTACCAAAAGATAAATGCGAAATTTTATATTACCTTCAAACATCACATTCAATGAATCACCTGACTTTACTCTCCAAATATGGCATGAAATAAAGTAAAATCGCATTCCTCTTAAGTTACAAAAATTTGACAACTGTTATCAAGAAACGTGCGTAATTAAGATAAATTTGAGAATGCTCGTGAAATTATACGTATTCTTCTTATTACACGCTGATACGTATGATTCTAAAATACTTATTGCGCTTGTAAAATTTTACGAAACTAATAAGATGCGATTGTTAAAATACGACAATGCAAAGAAATATACTTTTGCATCCTATTATTTTCTGTACACAATACTAGTAGATAATAAGACATTATGTATTTGCATGCCTTAAAGTTATCATTTGTATAAGTGCTAAAAGAGCTATAACGAGTATTCTTTCTATCATATAAAATTAAAATTACTCTCAAATTACTACGAAAACTGTGTTATATTCAGCTCGAAAGTAAATCAATTTCAGTCTCTTTTTAGACTCATAGTACCATGGTTATCCTTAAAAAAAAAAGTATTGTGGAAGTACTTAAATGTTGAGAGGTATTGTTATTAAGCCGTTGGGAAAGCAACAATGCTGTTGATAAAACTAATGATGCTAATTTTCGGCCAGAAATATTAATGTTTTAACAAATCGTGAGACGATCTATAAGTTTCCAAAGCAAATCTGAAATGTTTTGCTAAATCTTACTTTAAAAATAGTTTTAATATCCGTCAATTCCTTCAACCGCTTTAAGAACGCTGTACAAAATTTACGGCCGTTAACTGTTATTGTATAGCTTACAGTTAGCCTAGAAATTATTGTACGATTATTTTGTAGGTATTACGACTGTACATACGTAATATGCTATACATAGCCGTAAATCCGTAAGAGCAACATTACAGAAATACCAAGACCGATGTTCAGAAACGTGGTCCCAGCGCTGCTTCTGAAGGCGGCCGCGTCGCCCATTTGGAATGTGTGCGTTGGACTGGACATTCGGCCATCGCCGCCGAGACTGAATCCGAGGACTCGTAGATTATAAACTTTGCCCGGACTCAGATTACTAATGTAAGTTTCCAGCTTCGAGCCGCCGGGTATAATAGTATCGTTCGCAGTGCTCATGTCGCGATCCACGTCCCATACTCGAATCTTGTATCCTATCAGTGGCTCCTCGTCTAAACTAGGCTGCACATAGCGCCAGGTGACTCTCACTGTCGATGGATTTACGCCGAACACGGAAACCGCGGACGGTGGTTTTTGCGGCGGCTTGCGGTATGTTCTTTCCAGGTACCGTTCACTCTCCGGACCTTCCCCGGCAGTGTTGTAGGCTATCACCTTCACAAAATTCATAAACTTCTTCATCTTACACTTCACTTAAATTTACTAATTCTTAGTTATAACTGTTTTCCCAAATGACTATTTCGATAATAAAATCGGCTTATTTTCTAAAATAACTAATATTATAACTATAATAAATTTCAAGCAATTAATCCCTAGAAAAATTACATTTTCAAATTTGACAGATGTTCAAATAGTTACAGGACCCAAATAAAGAAAATATTTGTGCAGTTTTCTTAACGTACCTTTACGTAATAATAAGTATCTGGTTGCAAACCGACGACTAGCGCCCAAGGTCGCGTAGTGCGTGACAAATAATAAACGGAGCTTTCCTCGGGGTAATTCATCTTCCAGTACTTGAGTCGGTGGCCGATCAGTTTGCCTCGTGACACTTCGCGACTCGTATTGATCGAATTCCAGCTTACATTCAAGCTGGTGCTGTTGTAGCCCACAGCGACCACTAATTGCGGCCCGATCTGTGGCATGTCTTCTGCGCTATATATCGTGTATATATCCGAGATAGGACCTTCGCCTAATTCATTGATCGCCTGTACCCGCACTTCGTACTTCGTATAATAAAACGTCTCGCTGATCTGTACGACAGCTACACCGACGTTGCCTAAGTCCTTCAGCAATAACGACTGAAACTCCTTATCGTGGCCCTTGCGGCGCCAAAATACCTTGTAATGAATTCCGGGACCGTTCTGATCGGTCGGACTGAGACGGTCCCATGTGATCGTGAGGTCTTTTTTCTTGCCGCCTCCACCGCTAATATTCGACGGTGCTTTATAGGGTTTATCGGACGGAGTGCTGTATGTAGGTGAAGCAGACGAGAATGGCCCGTAACCGTACTCGTTGAAGGCCATTACGCGGAACTCGTACGTGGAATAAGGACTCAAGACATTTTCCAAGTATACTTCTTTTCGCCCGTTATACCTGTCCGTCTCAGTAGCCGTCGTAATGTCTGAAAGTAATATGTTTATCTAAAGACCTTACGTGCAAAACAAACATGACAAAACTTCGAAAGCGCCTTTAAGGCGGACGTATTCGAGAGAATATAATAAGAATTAGCGAGATAACTCTTATGAAAAGTCATCATAATAATATAAGCAATTATCATAAAGTCCACGTACTTTCTGCCAAAGGAAACCATGTGGAATTCCATTTCGTGCGCGCAGTGATCGTATACATGGTTATCGGTCTGCCATTTAACGCGCCGTCGGTCCACCGTAACGTCATAGAGGTTTTAACAATGTTCGCGATCTGTACTCCACCAGGTGGTCCTGGTGGGCCCTCCACGATCAGCATAGTCTTAGACGATATTTCACCAACAGCGCTCTTCAAAACGCACTCGTAATCGCCTGCTTCGACGAACGTTGCGTTTATGATATCCAGATATTCGCCATCGATGTTTAATCGTGGATTGTTTAGCAAATCTTTAGTACGAATTCGCATTCCGTTATGCTTCCAAATATATGCAACATCTAACATCTCGTCTGTATGGCCTAAGCACCGTAATGTTTGATTTTGATTGTACGACATGAGTATCCGGGGCGGCAATCTTTCAATAAATTGGGGTCTACCTGTATATAAATAATTTTACACAATCAATCTCTCATTAGACAAATCAAATCTTTAGAAGGTTATTTTATTTTATAAAATAGCTATATATAGTTACTATTTCATAGTTATAATTTTTATTATAGTTTTTATCAGAGTTTTTGTCATAATTATCATAGTTATTATTTCATAGTATCTTCAAAACTTTTATAAAATGTTTGCAAAAATTTTTAAATACAAAATAGTAAATATGAAAAAGAACAACACATAAAGATTGTCGTGTATAAATTAATGGAGAGGTATCTAAAATATATCAAATCATCAACTTACGTAGTACAATTAGTCGCCCACGAGTTTCATCACTGCCATATTCATTTGTCGCTGTGCACACGTAAGTACCTTCGTCATCTCTCGACACCGGACTAATAATGAGATTCCCAGTTTCCAAAATTTTTCGCCTACCACCCGAGCCAATTACGTTTCCATCTTTCTTCCAGACAAATTTCGGTCGAGGTGCGGCTTCTGGTTTGCACACGATTGTGACGTTACCTCCTTCTGCCGCGTACGTCTCTGATTCCATAGGCCGTTTTTTGAAAGACGGCTTTAATGCTAAAACGCCAAAGGTGGTCGATAATTCAACTGCTTAATGAACGTTAAACTGCAATCAAATATTAAAAGAAATAGAAAGACTTACACAACACTCTCAGTTGCCCTGACGAGTATGTGGTCTTCAATTGATTTCTCGCACGGCACTGATACATAGCTTCATCCCTCGCGCGATCAAGATGTTTGATAGTTAATACATTATCTTGTATAATATAGCGATCTCTGTCTTGAGGTGGTATAGTGAAGTTATCCAAAGGCTCTCCGTTCCTAAGCCAAGTATAGGTGACGTCTGGTATACCAAAAGCCTCACAGGTCCAAGTCAGATCTCCCCTGTTGTCCATATGTTTGTCGACCAACGGGATGGTGAAGTTAGGCGCCGCTTGTATGATCAATCGCACAGAATTCTCGATCGATAGCCTGTCGTTTTGCACCCGACAATAGTACTCGCCCTGGTCCTCCACACGTACTTCCGGTATTATTAACACCCGATTGTATGCTGTCATGTACGCTCCACGTGGTAAATCGGCGCCTTTTCTTGTCCAATTGTACGATGGAACAGGACTGTAGACGTAAATTGGTTATTATCATATCACAAATTTACGTACGCAACAGTTTACGTACGCAAGAAAAATAGGAAAAACATATTAAATGTGGCAAAACAGGGTTTCATTAAATATTTTACATATCACCTACAAGGGATAAAAAAAGATCCAGCGAGTTTTTTGAACTTACTATCCAAATGCGATGCATTCCAGTCTAACTTCCTCTCCAGCTATCGGTGCCTCTGGAAAAGCTTTTGGAAAATTGTTGGGGAACTTCAATTGCTGATACGAGGCTGTAAATGAAAAATTTACGATATTATTTATTACTTTGCTGTTAAATATATAATATGAAACAATAACTATCCTTATAACACCTTGAATATCTCCACTATTTCAAACAATATAGAAAATGGTGTCTACAAAAGTTTTATAAAAATTAAAGAAATTAAAGCTTTTTTATTCCAGTCTAAGGATATAAAGGCCAATAAGAATTAATACATGAATATTATAGTAATAAATGCAATCAATATAAATTACCTACAAAAGTCAAGAAATATCATTTAATATTATCCAAATTGAATATCTCAACTGGATCATCTTAATATAAAAGCATTAAGATAAAAAAAGAGACTATTAAAAAAATTAATATTATATTATGAGATATTTCATATCTTATATTAAAAAGAATAAGATAAAACATATTTAGGAAATATTTCATATTCTTATTTTATATACTCAAAAAATATTCATTTTTTGATTACTTTACTCCAGTACTTTTACACATAGAATGATTTTCAAACTTGAACTAGAAAACCATAGGATTCAATAAAAAGTATGACCTTGAAATTTCCCACATATCTGCACTCACAAAGAAATCATTGTCATTATATTACATAATCATAAAACTTGTTAATTAATCAATTTCCTATTGTTTGCAATAATAAATATATTCAAAATAATATGGTTATTGCTTCACCTTCTATACGTATAAAAAGTAATTATTGAGATAATTACAGTGCGGCTCCACTTTTAAGAAGAAAAACGGCCCATTACGTCCGGTATCGGATGCAAGGCTTTGAACATTGCATGAATAGGTTCCTTGGTCAACCGTTTCTAACGCAGAGAAGTAAAGGGCACCGTCGTGCGAAACGAATACACGTTGGTCCTCTTGGACGAAAGTGGGGAAGGACTCGCGTACCCAATAATACTTCACTTCAGGAAAATGTTGCGGCGGATCACAATACATTGCTTTACCCCAATGTTTATCGCCACGTTCTTCCGAACGCTTCAAATTGAACTCTAAAATATATCCGAACGAGAGCTCAACACTCTCAGATATAATTGTACCAAATTTGTTAGATGCTTTACAATGGTATGTACCACGATCTGCTGTCTGCAAAGAATATAAAAGAGATATTGGGTAATGATATATAGAAGTATAAATATCATATCTTTAATAAAGTAGCTCAGTAATATCCAGTAATATATAATTTAGTAGACACTTCCAGTTTACAACGAATAATTTGAAAAATCTTTACCTGTGCTGGGTCATAGATGATTAATGTTCCACCACTTATAGTAATGTTAGGATTTAAAAGAGGATCAATTTTTATTGCCTTAAGTTTATCATTTTCATAATCTTCCTTGAACCATTCATAGGTCGGTGTAGGATAACCTCCTGCTAAGCAGCTCAAGTCAATATAATTATTTACTCTTTTCTTTGATGGATCATATACTTTATTCTTGGGTTGTTTAATAAAATATGGTCCTCTAGGTATCTGAAGAGGATTATCAATTTCGATGCCATACTGGTAAGTACGATCATCCTCTACTAAATTCTGGAGATTAACAGCATATGCTTCACAAATATACAAGAGCTCCTCCCTGCCCGTAACTTTCTCCAATCCCCAACGTTGGAGCGCATTACTGTAAGAGTATGCCAGATAGTCTCTCCCTATTACATTGTCGTTAGGTTCAGGCAAGAAGGCATTATCCAAATTTAACAAGGTTAAACTGTCAGCCTCATTTATCCATATGCCATTCTGTTGCTTTACACCGGTATACCACCTGCGATGCTGTGGATCTTGCCACAGCAATTGATAGAGTATAAATACATGCTCTTCCAATGTGTTAATAGTAAGCAGATCACTTTGAAATGCTTGACAATTCCTGCGTGCATCATCTCGTGATCTCAATGGACTCTTGATAAAACGATAGCACGAGTCTTGGAATTTTGTCCAGTATTGGGGACACACATAAGTTTGTTCTCCATAAACATTACTTTGTGCATGCACAGGCAGTGATAAGACTAGGGAAAATACCACAATACTTAACAAATAGAACATCTTGGAAGTATCCTGCAACAAAGAAAGAATTTTATAAATTTCAAGGAATCATAGTAAAAAATATTACATTACTAATATTTACTATAGTATCATTTTTACTGTGCATCATTATGTTGAAACGAAAAGAAAAAAAACAAATAGTTACAGTGCAACTGATAAACTATACACTATTGCAAGCTTTCCTTTTGACACTGTCAATTTGCTTCTACAATGGCAAAATTATAAATATATTATTATATAATTCATACAATTTATAATTGTAACTGTCATGCTTCTCAATATATATTTATTCGATAGATAAGTTTTTCTGTAATATAAGTTATTTTACGATCAAATTATTGGAATTTTATTCAAATTCAACTCTCAAGAGACACTCCTCTAGTAGCCATTTTGTTGACATGTGCCGTTAGTTTATTTTAGAGCACTGTAACTTGACCGAAGCGTTCGCCAAGAATGTGTGAGAGAAGAGATTGAAATAAAGTTTACATACTCACTATACTCATACGATAGAATTTGTGAATTAAGCTCTCCAAATAGATAGAAATAAAAAATGCGAAATAAAAGCGCGAGCGTTACACCACAAACGTGACGCTACATCGCCGGACACTCCCCGTAACGAACGTTGGCGGAGATCGACGAACACTGACGAATCGATTGAATGTGTATATATGTACGCGCATTTTTCACGCGCATTAACACACATATGGACACACATAAGATCGCACACGTGCATATTCATGTTTAAATGACTCACTCGACGTTCAATGAACAATAATTGACACGTAAGCTCTCACGGATGTATAGTCACTTTTTGCTGTGTGATGTATTAATTTCATATAAGAGAGAAGAGAGAAAGAGAATCTATTGACAAATCGGAGTGATAGTACGATTCAATGCACATTAGACAAACCTTTGTTTTTCCATAGCACGATTGAAGATTTGTGTTGACGAAATATATGTTTGCATCTATTAATATTGCAAAATAAAAGTCCACTAGACCTAAAAAACTTATATTCCTTTAGTTATTTTTCTTTATTTTTCTATGAATTTTTGTCTATTACAAACATATAGACTTATATTCTGAATTCTCTTTTAGAGGCTCTTTTAAAGTTTAAGTTCCTTCCTTCCTTCCTTCCTTCAATATATGGCTACAGGCCTCTATAAGTAAAGTTTAAGTTAGAAATAGGTATTCCTTGTTTACATTCTTGCTTTAATCCTTAAGGATCTATTGGAATCATAATGAAGACTTCTCTCGAAGAGTCACAAAATAGGCAAAGGAATTTTCTAAATTTTAAATACGGAGAAAATCACTTTATATTTGTAATATTTGTAATCAAGAGAAATGTTCGCAGGGTGCTACAGAAATTTTTTTTTTTTTTGTTAAAGGTAAAGGCCGGTTTATGATTGGTAATTTGTTAACTTATACCGGAACCGTAAAAAATTTACCAATTACAATCGATTATTCTTTTATAATTCGACTATGATTGATCAATTTTTTATGGTTCCGGCATTAGTTAACGAATTACGGCCATCATAAACCAGCCTTTAAGCGACAATTTTCCGAAAAGTGGAGGGGATAATGTTGGTACCAAGGAAAATTTCTACACGATATAATTTAAAAATCTGTTCATTGTAAATGCACTGCGAACTGGTGCAATAAATTGAAGTGAGACAAGTATCTCTCAAGTTATCTCACTTTAATCTTTTGCATTATTTCCCCACTTTTCAGGAAACTGTCGCCTTCTAAGAAACCTTATAGGAAAAAGTTACATGATCGCTACCTAGGCTTCTCTCTAGAGCTGCGTTCCAAAACTCTACTCGACGGGTAGAATAATATTTAATTGACCAATAAGATAACTAGGATTTCTTTATCATGATTGGACAATTAAATGTACTCTACCCGTCGAATAAAGTTTTGGAACGCAGCCTAGTAGTTCACTTGTAATGTTTCATAATTTCACTGTTAGGTGTCGCCAACTTAAACGAGTTTATGGTCGCCGATCTGTGTTGCACGTCGATGATGGTGACTCGCAAATCGTCGAGTAATTTTGGTTGGTCCTAACCTGAAAAACTGTGAAGTCGAGAGAAAAACTGTTTCTGTTTCGTGTATTTGTTGAAAAGATATCTAATTAAAATGCCGGAGAGTACTAAGACCGAAGCGAAGCCGGTCAAAGAGATGAAAAATGGGAAGGAAGACGAGAAAAATGAGCTGGTGAGATATTAATCTGCACGGTAGTTAGCGGTTGACATTGTTGTATTATTGTTGAAAAGGACCATTCTAATTAATTGGATTTGTATACTTGTTATTCTTATGTCAATACGAGAAAACGAAATAATTCACTCATTCTTATAACTTATTTTGCATTATATCTTGAAATGATATCTTTAATTTTATTCATTAGCTTTGCAACTTTTACTAAATAGTAAATAATAGTGGTCGGGTTAGATTGTGTGCAATTACTTGCACTTTGTAGAACAAAATATAATAAGAAGAAATGTCTTAGAACTTACATTAATTAACTTAAAGTGGTAACTTATATATTTTGACAGTGAAGAAAAATTAGTTTTGCTCCTTTTTTCTTTGTCACTGTTCTATCGTTCCTATTTTTATACTTATTTTTGATATTATCTAGTTTCTATTATTTAAGGTATCATGAGAATTTGATGAAACTTGCACTATATACACAATGAAATATTAATTGTTTGTGTAATGAGAAAAAGATTGATCATTCCAAAGTTCAAATATTTGAAACTAAAATTGACACTTTTCATACATTTTCACACAGCTAGCATGTTATTTTCTTGTTATGTATAATTCTTATTTTTAATATCTTTTTCTATTTTCTAACAAAATATTTTTCTAATATATATTGGTCTTTTTACTTTATTTTACTCTATATTGAAAAATTGATCCTGAATTTCAGTCGGAAGAAGACAAGCTTCTGCAAGAAGAGTTAACTCTGCTGGTGGAACGTTTACAAGATGCCAATACCAAATTGCACTATCCTGCGTTGGAATCCTTGCGTTCGCATATTCGCGCCTCAACAACATCGATGACCAGCGTCCCAAAGCCCCTGAAGTTCATGCGACCTCATTACGACACCATGAAGAATACTTACGAGAAAATATCCAACGTGAAGTCCAAGGAATTATGTTCCGACATTATTTCAGTCTTAGCTATGACTATGGGCGAGGGTCGAGAATGTTTGAAGTACAGACTGACTGGATCGGCATTGGCTATCGGCGAATGGGGCCACGAATACGTCAGACATTTATCGGGCGAATTGGCAATGGAGTGGGACGAGGTGACGGCGGACGACGTGGAGGCGACAAGCAAGAAACTGATCGCCCTGGTGCACGAGATCGTGCCGTATAACATGGCGCATAACGCGGAGACGGAGGCGTGTGACTTACTGATGGAGATCGAGAGGCTCGACCTGCTGGAGCAATACGTCGACGAGAGCGCGTATCAACGAGTCTGCCTCTACCTTACCAGCTGCGTGCCTTACGTCGCTGATCCGGAGAACAGTACTCTTCTGCATGTCGCCTGCAAGTTGTACCGTAAATTCGGCCAATATCCGCAAGCGATTAGACTGGCGATGCAGCTCAACGATTTACCACTCATCGAGTCTATCTTCACGAACTGTAGGGACCTGTAAGTAATCTCTATAGAACTTCTTATAGAAAGAGTCGATGAAAGAGTCTATGATTAGAAAACTTTTAATTGAGACTATTTGATAGACATCATTGATCGTTAGTTTAAAAAATGTCACTCAAATATATTTGTCCATTTTAAAAGTATTCTATATATTGATAAATAGTCAATATATTAAAAAAAAATATTTAATAATCTTTACTTTTACTAAAGGCTAAAACAAATTTTTATTACAATACTTTTGTTTTTAATACAATAAAAAATAGAAACTAAGAAAAGTACGTATATACGCTTTCCAGTTCCGTGCAGAAGCAACTGGCTTTCATGCTGGGCCGTCAACAGATTTTCTTGGAATTGCACGAAGCTACGATAGAGGACGACGATCTGTTCGAAATAATGTCCAATTCTCATTTAAATAATCACTTTCTGAATCTGGCGCGTGAGTTAGACATAATGGAACCAAAAACGCCCGAGGACGTGTACAAGTCTCACTTGGAGAACTCTCGACCGCCATTCGGTGGAGGCCAGGTCGACTCGGCGCGACAGAATCTTGCAGCGAGTTTTGTGAACGGCTTCGTGAATGCCGCGTTCGGCCAGGATAAACTACTGATCGAAGATGGCAACAAATGGCTGTATAAAAACAAAGAACACGGTATGTTAAGCGCGACTGCATCACTTGGCTTAATTCTGTTGTGGGACGTCGATGGTGGCCTGACACCGATAGACAAATACCTGTATTCCTCGGAGGACTACATCAAATCCGGTGCCTTATTGGCGTGTGGTATCGTCAATTGCGGCGTGAGAAACGAGTGCGACCCTGCGCTGGCTCTGCTCTCCGACTACGTGCTGCACAACAGCAACACGATGCGCATTGGCGCGATCGTTGGTCTCGGTATCGCATACGCCGGCTCCAACCGGGAAGCGGTTCTGGGCCTGCTGACGCCGGTCCTGAACGACCCGAAGTCAAGCTGGGAAGTGTTGGGCATGACTGGTCTGGCGTTAGGGATGGTCGCTGCTGGCTCATGTAATGCCTACGTTACCACAGCGATTATGCACACGCTGATGGACAAGTCGGAGTCTGATCTCAAGGACACGTACGCGCGCTTCTTGGCACTGGGTCTCGGCCTTTGTTTCTTAGGAAAACAAGAAGCGGCGGAGGCGATTATAGCTGCCTTGGAGATCGTCCACGAGCCATTCAGGTCTATGTCGACGACACTAGTCGAAGTGTGCGCTTATGCCGGCACAGGGAACGTCCTCAAGATACAACACCTGCTGCACATCTGCTCGGAACACTACGAGCCGAGCAATGAGAAAGAGGAGAAGAACGAGCGCAAAGATAAGGATAAGAAGGAAGAGAAAAAGGAAGAGAAGGAGAAGGATCTCAGCTCCAGGCAGGCTATTGCTGTCCTCGGCATCGCCCTGATCGCAATGGGAGAGGAGATCGGCGCCGAGATGGCGTACAGAACCTTTGGACATCTGTTGCGCTACTGCGAGCCCGTGATTCGGCGCTCAGTGCCGCTCGCTCTAGGTCTTATCTCCGTGTCGAATCCGAAACTGAACATCTTGGACACGCTGTCCAAGTTCTCGCACGACAGTGACCCCGAAGTGGCGCATAATGCGATATTCGCCATGGGTCTGGTAGGCGCTGGCACAAACAATGCGCGTTTGGCCGCGATGTTGAGACAATTGGCCCAGTTCCACGCGAAGGATCCCAACAATCTTTTCATGGTGCGCATAGCGCAAGGCCTGACACATCTGGGTAAAGGCACGCTCACCCTCTCGCCTTATCACAGCGACAGGCAATTGCTGAGTCCCGTTGCCCTCGCTGGTCTTTTGTCGACACTCATCGGCTTTTTAGATGTGAAAAACAGTAAGTACCTGTTCGCTGCATCACTTGTAGCAATATGTTTCTTATCTTGTTTGCATACCAATGTCGGTACTCAAGTTGTTATGCTCTTTTTTTTCTATTCCTTCTATAAAACTATCAAGCTTTTGTTTTTTTTTATAATTAATTCGGGATTTATAATTGTCCTTACAACAAATAAATATTAACTTTTTAAATCCACTGTTCACCATTATAGAAATTTTGAAATTTTAAATGTTTGATTTACATTCTTGGATATTTAAATCGATAATCTTTGAGATTTTTAGATGATTGTTAGATGTCTTTATATTTGTAACCTTCAGCGTTATAAAAATTTAGAACCCGTCATGTGATTTGCTGCTATTAATTTTATAATAATATTTCAGTTATCCTTGGACGTTCGCACTACCTCTTGTATACACTGGCCGCTGCAATGCAGCCCAGAATGTTGGTGACATTCGACGAGGACTTAAATCCGCTGGCGGTACCGGTGAGAGTCGGACTTGCCGTTGATGTGGTCGGCCAAGCTGGTAAACCGAAGACTATTACGGGCTTTCAAACGCACACCACTCCCGTGCTGTTGGCATACGGTGAGAGGGCGGAACTCGCCACGGAAGAATACGTACCCTTAACGCCGATCATGGAGGGTTTCGTGATACTAAGAAAAAATCCGGACTTCATACCGTAGTCGTAGTAATTGCTCTCGTTCGCCAATGTACCTCGTATTAAGTTACTTCTAAGACGAAATTTAATAAAAAAACGTATATTAGTGTTCCCTTTGCATATGTGAAAGAATGTTTCCCAAATACACACGCATACGAATGTCCTATCTTTCATCCTTTCTGCAGGATTGGAAAGTGTCTTAAGATTACACACTATAAAGGAAATGAAGTGGCAATGCGTTTTTTATTTAATAATAAAATATTGGTTTTAATAGCAAAAAATACTGATATAATGTATAAAATCTCATTACACGTTTCTCAGCAAGAATTTTGTACGCAATACATATCATAAAAAAAAATAGAAACAACAAAACGTTACATTGCATTTTTGAAGTTAACAATACATCGGTAAAAGTTAGCCTTCTTTTGTAAGTACCAGTTAAGATTACGTATTTATATATCATATGCGCATTTGTCATAAATTACATCCTGTTTTCTATGTTTTTATTGATGACTAAGAATCGTAGAAACATAATGTCCCTACTATGATCATGTCAGTTTGTTAAAATATTCCGCAAATATATGCATAAACGAATATATATATATATATATCATGTCAGTAAAATAACATCCTAATAGTAGGATTTTAGGTGATTTTTTGTAAAAGCTTGTACTATAGCTACCAAAAATAATGTAACTTTTGTTCGTTGCAATTGGATAATTTAGTTTTAATAACGTCTATAAAAAATATACGGATATATCTTAAAAATATTTAAATATTATAATACCTAGTTCATTTTTTGTATCGGTAGCGTACAATCAGCCTCACATTACAATAAAAGTCATTATAATTTACACACTGATATATCGACTCCCATTGCTCTATGTTTTTCAATGTTTCTATTGTGATAATCGCCATATGCAATGATCAAATTATGATTGCATTTCAAGTTTGAAATGCTTAAATAAAATCATATAAATAGAAATGATAGCATAGATTCTATGATTCATATTCTGACGACGCATTTGTGCGTTAAATGTAACCACCTGATCTGACAAGCCCTTTAACTCTCTTACTTTGAAAAAATCATATGTAACATTATTCGAGCTTGAGAATCAAGAGGATACATCTGGTAAATGTTCGATCAGAGTACAGACCTGTATGTACAGCTTTCTAAAGTTATCCCGCACCACTTACAAAATTCTATCGCATTTTGGCACTGTTGTTTGAACCATGATAATAAGTACACTGCATAAAAACAAAAAAAAAACAAAAAAAAATGAAAATGTTTTTAAGAAGTCATGGAATTATGATGAACCACCGACAGTCTTATGATTCTACCATAAACAAAATACTTACAAACAAATAAATCTCCACTTTTGTTTCACATTATTATTGTAGGCTAATTTATTAATCGCGGTGTGTGATAGGCGGTGTTTCGAGCAGTAAACTAACGTTTGCCCACTTCGACAAAATCAAAATTGCCACCACTGGCATTAATATTTCACGTTAATGTAATTTCTCCATACTCAACAATAACAACGGTTCTCTCATTTAAACCTTTCGACTTACGCAATTATAATTGTATAGCACCTATATCTGAATGTATCATTAGTATCTCGCTAACTTCGTCACATTAAAATACTACTTGGCAAGCTGCAATATTTAGTCATAATAAAATAGTATGTTTTTACACTATCTCAAATTGTGTACACTAGTAATTGAAGAATTGTGTAGATAATCCGCTCTACTGCAGTAATCTACCAGTATAATCGTACTTTAAATTAAGTCTCTTGCTCAACATAGATATCTAGATCGTCGATATCTATATCTAGATTCGCGATACTCTCACAACCCGTAAACCGTTAGTAGCACTTGTGGAAGGCTTCAGTATCAATAGGTACAGTTTATAAAAATTACAAATGCTTTTTTAAGCTCGTCAGTAATGGAAAGATTTTCGCTTATCATCGCTTATTGATAATAAAAACTACACAGACAATTCTGTGAATAAAGTAACGCGAAGTCATTCACGTCTCCTATCTATATTAAAGATTGTAAGATTGTGTTGATTGTAATAGATTTCTACGCATTAACATTAGAACAATTGACTTTGGATATTATCATTGAAAGATCGAGTGAGACAATATTGTTCTACCCGCGACAAAAAATATGTTTGTTTTACATTTTATAATTTATAGTAAAAGTTAAAAAACTTGGTAAAAATGTTAAAAAAAACTTGGTAAAAGTATTAAAAAGAAAGGAGGGTCAATAAGGCCTGTTTTCGGCCCCTCCTTATTGACCTTCCTCCTTTGGCAGTCAAAATTATTTTAGCCAGTCGTTCTAATGTTAAAAGATGTATATTATCTTAACTCTCATATCCTAAGATTGCAGAAAAAATGACTTAATAAAAAAAATAACTTTAATAGAGGGAACGCTAAGATTGAACAACGCGTGGAAGAATGTCTTACCTTACGCGTTACGCAAGTGTCTTCTCAAATGGCAGTTTCAGTTTTGCTAGCAGTAATTTGTCTCCATATTACGATGAACAGTCACAGGCGCTAAAACGTGATGAGGCGAGCCTAAGTACGTCGTAGGGGAAGGCATTCCAGTAGATTGCCTATTCAAGTCCGGCTCCACGTTGTTGCCAACAACCAGCAGAGGTTCCACGAATGTTTGCTGCTCGGAGTCGTCATGTGGTGTCATAGTGCTGTAGCCGTGATCGCTATCCCCACCGGGTGGTCTTCTGTAATTAGTAGAGACTCTATACGGCGACACCGGCGCGATGTTATCCCTCGCGAGGCAATCCAAGTTGTTCTTGATCTGATCCAATTCTGTGGGCTCTGGATCGCCCTCGATATGCGTCATGCGCAAAGTGTCGGGCGAAGTATGCAAATGCAAACATTGATGCTCCAGACCCGAATGCACCGACCGCAGTCTGTAGCAGAACAGAATAATACCTAGAATCAGGACCAACGCGAGGATTCCACCAGCCACTGGCCCGACCGACGGCCACTCCCGTGTCATGACCTCGTCCGCTGATTGTGAATCTGAAAAAGTGTATCTTATCGTTGTAAACCGATGACCATTGGGAAACGAATGTAACGAGTATAATAGAAAAGGAAAGGTAAACTCACTATAGGTGCCGTCACTGTAAGGTATCAAAGATCCAAACACTCCCTTGAAACATACGGACATGTCGGAACAAAACGGATGTTGCAAAGGAGTCTCTCCGTCATTATCGATGTGACACCATTGACAATCCACAATGCCCAGGCAGTCTCTTTCCGTTGTATACGATTTACAGTCGGCAGACGGACATGATTTTAAATTCACTGGTTGTATCCACGGAGTCTGTAGACTCGAACCTTGCTCGTACAAAGGTGGGCAGGAATTCAAATCGTCGGTACTTTGTTGTGTACAGCTGGAAGTGTACAACGAACACTCGCAAGGGCATTCGCAACCAGTCTGTTCCATGCTCTTGCAGTTTAGACACGAATGATCCATCTGTAGCATTTAGTAAAAAAAAAGATACGCCAAATTTACATAAAATGAATATAAAGAAGAAATTCTGCAGGAACAAAAACAAATCGCGATAAATTACCGTGCTGCAAGGACAGAAAGCTCTCAGCTGATTGCACTGTGTCGTCACATTGACGACTCCAATGAATAGGTTGGTACCTGGTACAGCGGCTACTTGATATTTGACACAGTGCTCGCCGTGCGCCATGTTAGTGAGCACCTCGTCGAGCGACGTATTGAACTGATAATATCGTTGCACCGTACCGTCTAAGTGATTGGCGCACATTTTCTTTTTCACGAACAGTCCGTGATTCAGTATGTCATTGGCTATCAAGAGCTCCTTGTGCGTCAAATGCTGCTGCTCGATCTTGCCCGTCGCCTCCAACAGCGTGGGATGAGACACCAGATAGCCTTTGTCATCCATCAAGAAGCATTTTACAGTCGCGTCGGTACAGAACGAGAACATATGCGCCAGCAGTCTCGCGATGTAGCCCATCGAAACATCCATAGCTAGGACAGCGACGACGTAATCTGCACTTTTATTTTTTGCCATGGAGATTTTAATCACCTGACTGAGGGTGATCACATAGCCTGATCCACCCGCGTCTAAATAAGGTGGGGTTAAGACTACTTTATCAGGATGCTCCAACGCTTTCCCATACCACATTCGCCTCTTTGGATCAAAACCAGAATCCAGTACCAATCCCGGAAATATTTCCAACACACCACTGACTGCACTGACAACATATCTAAAATAATGAAAAGCATGAGTACATTAAGATACAATTGCGAGTTATAAGTGTAATCATACAATGAAGTTGTAGTCGAATTTACCTTCGTATAACATATTTATTCAGCTTGCTTTCAGTATGTTGCTTCTTGAAGTGTTCCAAAATTTGTGCCAGAGTCGCTACATCCGGCTTTACGGACGGATGCAGACCAGGGTTGGCTAAAAGACCTGTCAGATCTTTTATGTACGCCATGTAACTTTGTACAGTCATAGCTGAACCAGTCTCCAGTAATTTCAGTTGCTCCATTGGAGACTGAAAGCACCACGGTGACAGATAAACTACCCCTGTTGCTAAAAATAAAAAAAAAATAAAAAAATCTAATGTCTACAGACGATAACGTAAATCGAACGAAAGCATGTACTTTCTTACAATAAGTTATAATTCTGTTTCTATAGGCGCAGAGTGTGTCTTTGTTAACGATAGTCTGAAGCATAAGATCAAGACGGTGGTGTAATATGTCCATCGGTAGCGGAGGCACAGTCCTCGCAACGGGCAATACAGCTTCTTCAATCGTGGACACCAAGCATATTATTAAGTCCTCGTAAATTAAGTGTCTCCACCTGTATCGTCTCTGTGCCACAAATCAGTAAATGATTTAATCCCTGTTTTATTGAATTCCTTATCATAATATTAGGAAGATCATCCCAGATAATATAGAGAATTCAAAAAGAATTCTGTCATATATTCTGAGTTCATTTTTAGATGCAAAACAAATTCTTTTCATTGAACTGAACTTTGAAAAATTCTTTTGCATCTGAAAATGAACTCAGAACTGATGACATACGACTAAATTCTTTTCGAATTCTCTGTGCTATCTGAGATGTTAACTTACTTGCTCGCCCAGCTTGGTTTCCGCGTTTAAGACTCCTTCAGTTTCATTTATTATTCTCTTTACTAGTCGACTATCTATATTTTCGATATCTTGCAAATGCACTTTAAGCGGTTGCTCGATCATCGTCTCGGTTCTGGGGAAATTTTTATGCATCCAAACCACACCTTTGCTGTCAAAGAGTATAGCATATACGTTTGGACCGGCATTAAAGTACGTTATGTCGTCGAGAACATCGCGCAATTTCACGTTTAATGACAGCAATGCTACATTCGTGATCTGTCCAATGGACAGTGTCATCGTTTTGCTATACGGCTCAAAGTATGGATCTGATACGTGATAATCTCTCTTGTGCTGATTGGGACATTGCAAGCAAGCGAATAGCTTTCCTATCTCATACCCGAGGACATTTTGCGTTGGGAGAACTATGACACTGTCATTGTTTAAGGATTCTTTAATACTGAGATGTGATTGTTGGTCTAAAAATAAAATCTAATTAAAAAAAAATATCTCTCATGCATGATTATGGAAAGCAAAATAATAATAATAATCCAATTTACCTGGAAGAATAAGTATTGTCCTGAAGTGAGCTTTAAGTGTCCCTGAAATGACTTTGGAAAGTCCCTGGATACTTGATGCATTTTTAAATTTATTAGTCAAGTGCACAATAGCTACTTCACCCCTTAGATTTTGTGTCAATTTTCTGTCGAGTATTTTAGACAGAAAATCAGTTTCTATCGTCTGATTGACATCTAAATAAACATTAGAATCAATGTGTATATTTTTGAACATGCAAAATATATGTACTTCTTAATATTACAATAACACAATCTTAACTACCTGTTCTGATTAAACTATCAATGTAACGGGCTAATTGGAACTTATTGATATCTGTTGCCTTCAACAAGCCATCTTTGCAATATAGAGAAACAGTGCTGGCAAGGCCTACAACTGCTATGTTATCAGTTTCCGACAACATATCTATGATAGTTTTGGCTGCCATTTGAGTCAAAGCAAAATCAGTTTCTGACATTAATGTGTCATGTTCCAAAAGTAGAATGACATTCTTCTCAGTACAATACTGAGATAATATAAGTGGACCAATATTGTGTGCTAATGTGGGAGGACCACAGATCGTACTCGGTTGACTCACTGGTAGCACGTGTAAGTTCTTCCACTCTTGACTCCTTGTATTTGTCGCGAGTGCTGCAATCATAATTACTCTATACATACTATGATACTATGGTGAGATACTATGGTTACATCACTTGTCTGACAATAAGAGGTACCTGTTACGATCCGAGTGCATACATCGGAAACCCTTTCTTGCATGATATTTAGGTCAACCATTTGACTAGAATAAACAGAATGATCTTGTGTCTTAGACAGGACAGAATATATCACATTGTAGCTCTGATTCAGAACGTCAATGTACATCTTGAGCTTATTGTTGAATTTGTCCACCAGCGAGTTCAGTTTTGTGCTCAAGCTGCCATGTATTTGCGTGAACTCCATCTTGTTTATCATATCCTGGAAAAAAGGCGCACCGAGCTCCTCCTCGCCGATGGATCGCAGTGCTATGGACACGTGCACGGTGATGTCTCGCAGACACATGCCATGCAACGGCTCCGCCGGCACCTGTTTACGCATGGGCCTGCCGAATTGACACCTGACGGTAGTGTTGTCACTGTCATGAGCGGCCACGTACACGCTCGTTAGTATCAACAGCCTCAGAGCCAAATACGCGATCCTGTTTACAGCCATTCCGGCGACGTTAGGACGCTGCCTCGGTGCCGAATACTACTCTTTTCGTCGTGAACCTCACAAATTCGTCGTAGTATCACAATGACGATCATTCATGCCGACGCTCAACATGCATTTGCGAGCGGCCCGAGCGTGGTGCAACTTCACCACCTTGAGATGCGCGAAGTTTGTTTACTAGGAGGACCGCACGTCAAGAATTGTTGAATTTTTGTATAATGGTGGGACACGAAGCACGAAGCGTATGTTTAGGCGCAAAATCGCAATTTGAATCAGTCTAGAGACCCTAGATATAAGAGACTGTCTAAGGCTGGTCCAAGTTTTGATTGGTTGGGTGCAAAATGGCGTAGCCAATGAGCGGTGACTATGTATGCGAAAGAAAGCGCGAAACAGAAATGGGGAAAACACAAGCAAATAAATATTTTAGCAGTATTTTTATTCAATAAATGTTAATTTCCAAGAATTATTGACATAAACACATAATTAACACATTCGCATAATAAAATATAAAAATATAACAATATATATACATAATACATGTATATATGTATAAATAAACATATGTAAACATAAATATATGTACCCTCAGAACAAAACCAAAGCTATGCACTTATTATTTAAATAAAATATTATTTAATCAATGAATGCATAGCCATAGTTTTGCTGTTAAAAATAGGTTTCCTGTTTTTGCATCCCACGATACAACAACCCGTCATTTTCTATAACATTAGATTATTTATTATGATATTGTTGCGCCCTTTGAAATATGTATAAACATCCGATGGTCTAGGATGAGCGTTTCTTGACGCACGAATTTCGCGCTTAAATTTCACGTTTAATGACAACCCTCAATGTCGTTTTTCGAACGCCATCTCGTATTACGATTCGCAGTTAACGTTCTATACACAATGCCAGACAACAGGCAATAGGAACAAAGAATAGGAATTCAGATTGGTCAATTATTTCTATTCCCTGTTTCTATTGACTAATGTCTATTCCTATTGCCTGTTGTCTGGCATTGTGCATAGGGCTTAAGACTCGACTTTACTACGAGACGTCAGCTGCTGCTATCTGTAGACAATTTCGTGCAGTATTTACTTTTGTCTACTATTTTGAGCTGCCACTTTAAATAAAAATAGATGTCCGCTAGATCGTGTAGTATCGAGGATTTATTTTTCTTTGTTTACCTAACAATTAAATCATGTGTCTGTTTCTGTCCAATTTAAAGAGGAAAACGAAGATAGACATGATTTAATTGTCAGGTAACTTATCAGGTTAGAACAATTGACCCTAAAACAGTTTCCTTCATATCATTAAATATTCATAATTAAAACCAAAAAAGATAATTACCTGAAGAGATGCAAATTAAAATCTTTTATTGATAAAAGTGGCTCTAAATGTGCTTATAAGTCAATCAGAAAGTTTATGAATCACACTTAGAGGCCCTTTTATTGATGAAAAAGAGTCTAAAATAAAGATTTAAGTGTTGGTTCTACGTACGATCGCATTTAACGTCGCATTTAGCGCTAAACGTAAGTTTAGCGAGTTTATTCTTTACATTTAAAAGTTTAAAGTGTTTAATGAAAATCATATAACCATATTTTTCAAATTATATTTTTACACAAGTTGCAACATTATTTTATTAATGTTTAAAACAATTGTTATTGTTAACATTTAAAAATTTGTTTTAATTTTCAATTCAATTTTCAATTAAAACAATTGTCTTAAATGTTAATATTGCGACTCATATAAAAATATTATTTGGAAAAGACGGCTGTATAATTTTCATTCTGTTTATATATGAAAATAAGAAAACAATTTCTTACGGAAAAAATTACAAGGATATGAAAAAAACTACTGACATGCTTCCTTATAGAAATATTATACTAAAAATCATTGATAATTACTTATTTTCAGTATTAAAAATACTGGATAATAAGTAATTATCAATGATTTTTAGTATGATATTTCTATAAGGGTTATTGAAAAATTATAGTTCTTCAATAGTATGCCAGTAATTTTTTCGTATTCCTATAGTTTTTTTTCCGCAAGGAATTGTCAACACAATTAATATAATTATCAAGACAAATTTTAATTTAAAAAGTTAATGTCAAATAATTAATAAAACAATTAAAATATAAAACGATAATTTAAAAATAGTTTTGATTTTCAATTAATTGAAAATTGTTAAATTATAAAAATTCCAACAATAATCTTTTTTGTTATATTGAATGTAATGTTCCCAAATAGCACAGAGAATTCCAAAAGAATTTAGTCGTCCCTTATAGAAATATCATACTAAGAATCATTGATAATTACTTATTTTCAGTTTTAAAAATACTGGATAATAAGTAATTATCAATGATTCTTAGTATGATATTTCTATAAGGAGTATGTCACCAATTTTGAATTTAATTTTAGATGCAAAAAGAATTTTTTTCACTGAACTAAACGCTGAAGAATTCTTTTTGCATCTGAAAATGAACTCAGTATTGGTTTAAGATAATAAGATTTTTGGTTGACTTAAACAGAATTCAGGTTATTTCAATCTGAATTTCTGGATCGTTTATATTCGACCAGATATTTGGTTAATTCAACCAAACCTTTTTTTCGATGCAGAATTCTATTATATTGGCTATAAAATTAAAAGTGTCTATTTTATAATATTGAGTCAATATTTGGTATATCGGGACCCAATTTGTAGCTAATATTGCTCTAATGTGCTACTAAGGGATTACGAATATGCAAGTTCCAAGGTAGACCGTAAACGCACCCTTTCTAAGAAAATTGCCCATTTAACATCTTATTAGGTAACGCTACTTATTTTCACAAAATAAAAATGTTAATTTGCAACGCAATTTATTTCTTGATAATGTTTGACCTTATTGATGGTTTCAAAGTGTAATCAACGAGCCAATTGATCCAATTTGACCGTGCCAACTGTCTGAGAATTCACTAGAGTCCTTTCTGAGGTCCAATTCAATCATTTTTTCCAGGGACAATACCCGAAATTGTTACTGCCACTTGTTGATGATGATTTTGCAAATTATCATAATTTCATTTTTTATTTGTCGTAATTCCTTATTTCGAACTGTGTTTTCCAAGAATTGCCGCGAAGCGTGCTCCATCCCCGTGAAAATTCTGAGCAGCAAGATGGTAAGCGGCGTGGTTCCCGCGCCACTTCCCGCACATCCTCTTGTCATTTGGGATGCTCCCCTCTGCGGTGTCTAATGTCATCAACCAATCACGCCGCGCGACACACAAAACATATTAGTATTTTCGAAATGTTACGAGTGAAGACACATGCAAAGTGTTCATCAAGTAACCAGATTTATTAAACAATGTAAAAATTGAACCCAAATTTCGGCGACAAGGTAAATCGATGTATTTCTTACAAAATTTATGCTCGTCTTTATAATCAATAGTTTTTCATATTTGAAACTGTCAGACTTTCTCTTTCGAATTTTTTCAATTTAGCTAATCAGTCTCAAACGTAAACCTGATATGAATTTCGCGTAAACACCACCTAGAGAGCAATCTCCAACCCGACACGTTTGAAACGAACTTTGACACGCACTATCAGACTTCAGATTTATTTGGCCGTCACGTTGTGAAAATTTATGTGATCCACCTGATTGTTCATAAGAATCAATTGCTTATAGACGGGATAGGATAAACAGGAAACAGTAGAAGTGGAGTTGGACAAGAAGCATCGAGACAATATTCGATATTGCGAACCAAAAAGACCGCTCGAGCCGTTAACAAACTCGCAAGTTTTACGGCTCTGCGTTATCAATCCAGGCTCTCCTCATGACCTATACAACGGACTGTACCCAGAACGGATGCGGGGACGGATCGGTGTCACGTGAACCCTCCGGATATACCAGCTTCCTAGTCTTGCTCACCTACTTTATCGCCATTTCGTTTCATCGGAAACGTTCGGAAATCGGCCGTGGCGGGAAAACGCGGCGGACGTTGCCGAAATGCTCGCCTGACATTTCCTCGATTGCCGAGCGTTCCCGCACTGATTAGTATTTTAATCAATTTTGCACTTGCTTCTCTCATGCAGTCCTACGTAGTTCCGTTCTGAAATTTACTGAGATCTTATCCATAAATATTATACATTTTTCTTCTTATAATTTTTTTGTGTAATCATCAAAGTGATGAATATAATTGAACCTTATCTGTCTCTTAAAAAAGAAGCTTATAACATATATTACATATGTATATAATTTTCCGTCTCGAATAACTTTATCTGTTAAAATAATAAAATTATATAAAAGAAGTCCAGAAATTTATTTGTGATATCTAATAATTTTCTATGGGAGTTACTAAAATTATTATTGTTATGTTTTTGCACAGTAATATCAGAATAATGAGATTATCGAGGAAGAACTCTTATGGGAACATTTATCAGAAAATTGAGCGTTAATGATATCAGCTCAGGTAATGAGGAAGTGGTAATCAGGTAGACTTTTAATTTTTCATGAAATCGCTGGCGGTCCGTGTATGCGAATGCCCGTTAATAGCGAGAAATTACCGGTGGTGCGACGTTAATGGAAAAAAATTTGCGCCATAATTATGTAATAAGTGCGGGGCGTTTTGTTTTCACATCGATGGCGTTTAATCTGAGTTAACGGTCCAAAAGCTTGAACGTTCCTTTCGTTGATCGCTCAACGCGGAGATCAGATCAGATTACATTACCCAAAAAAGAATTCCAACGCTGAAAGAGATCACACTGTAAATATAATAATTACGCGAGAAACGTAAAATTATTCTGAGAAAAGTTACCATCATCTTCTCGTGTTTGGTATTGAACGAACATGTAGATGGCAAAATTTGAATCTTGGCATCAATTATGGATCTTTTCACGTGAACTCGATCATGCTTATCAATCGTGTTATTTTTTCCTAGTCCCAGACAGCATAGATGTCTAAAATACACTTTAAAAACATCCCAACGAAGTCTGAAGCAAGTAGAATATCTTTCAGATATCTCTAAAATATCTTATAAGGAGCCGTTCTTCTTTATCCAGAACTAAATAAATGAATTTCAGTACCAATCAATAAAGAATCTAAATCAATAAAGTACTTTAATAAGTACTCAGAGTAAAGATTACGTCTGTAAACTCATCATAGTTCCAGAAATTTAGGATTTTTTCCATTGCCCCATATTATGTCCAGTGCCTGCTTGGTCACTTTGGAAATCTTTATGGGACTATTCTAGAAATACAAAAATGATGATTAAAATTTATTGCAAAATTATGGCTATTCACGTATAATTCATCTAAAAAGCAACGATTGAAACACATATTGATCGCAGTGTGCACTTCGGAATTCGGAAATCTGGATACAACCTGATCAGTAGAGAGGTATTTAAAATCAGTAGAGAGGTATTTAAAATCAAAACAGTAATCTACCGATGCGACAAATGGTCTAGATCGAAATTTTAGTTATCATTTTGATACTTCTGGAAAGAGAGAGAGGTGCCATGGTCACATAAAGATCTTCAAAGTGATTAAGCAAAGACAATGTCAAAGACCTAATATAAAGTAATGGACAAATCTCAAATCTCTAGAACTCTGATGAATTTGCTGAGGTAATCTTTACTCTCAGCACTTATTGAAATATTCTTTATCGATTGATACCAATTAATTTATTTCGTTTTAGATAAAGAAGAATGGTCCCTTGTTAGACATTTCTGCTGTACGAAATGACGAAAAGTGAATAATTTTACAGTATTTGGAGATGATCATTTTTCAATCCTTTCCTCTAATGTGATCTCGTGCAAAGTGAACATTTCCATATATAGTCAAAATTAGATTTTTCACTTCTTACGAGTTCACACCATGGGAAAAATTCATGATCGATCCTCTTGTAGGTTTCGCACTAGTATAAGTCTCTCCCCTTCGTACTTTTACGATGCAATTATTCAGGACCGAAGTTCTGAATCCCGAAATTTTCTATTCTCTAGGCGGGATAACAGCGAGCCACGAAGAACAGAGTACGCGCATACCGGGAGATTTTGACGGGATGACGGCGGGCCAGTATCGCACTACAGGGAATCGCGAGATGTAAGATTGTTCGAGGACAGTAAGGCGAGAATAGGAGAGTAAGAGAAAAAAAAATGCAGTCGCAAATGTGCAAAAGAGAAAGGGAGGGACGGCGTTAGGGAGGCAGAGAGATAGATGTCAACTTGATGATGATATACTGTTGCGATCTTGGTGACCCCCTTTCTTCTCCTCCGTTATCTTCTGTCCCTCCCTCCCTCTCCCTCCCCCCTCTCTCTCTCTCTCTCTCTCTTGCTCATCAGTAGCGTATGTACCAACAGATAACGTATCGTAGGTGTCGGGGGCGGCGGAGGGCGTAAGGGCGCGGAGGTGCAGGCAGGTTGGCGGCGGGGGAAAAGGAAAAAAGGGGGAACCCCCGATTTTCTTCCTGTACGACGATTTCAGCCACTGCCGGCTGACGCGGTGCACACGGAAGACCTGGCTGGACCGATCGCAGACCGATTACAGTATCCCGCGGGCAACACTCGCGCTCGCAACGCAGAGTCTCTCTCTCTTCTGGCTCTCCCCTTGGTAGCACGCGTGTTTAGTCAGTACATCCGCGATACGGCAATCACGGACTGTCGTCGCCGATCCTCGGCCGCGTGCATCATCTCCCGAGGTCGTCTGTCCGGAGGACCATCGGTGATTCCGCCGTATCTGGGACTCCGCGCTGGAAATATCGAGGCTCGAGACTCTTCAAGACTGAGCGCTCGCTGCGGGGAACGTGGTCGATCGTCTGAGGGTTCAAGGAGGATTTTCCCGCGGGGAGAATCGCTCGTCGTCGAGGAATCACCTGAGAACGCGTCGGGAACGATACGATATCGCTCCGCCGGCGGCGAGCGCGAAACTACGCCTCGCGCGACCATCAAGAGTGCTCGCAGGAAGTGCAGTGTGTAAAAACAAATCAGACTCATTCCGCTCATCGACGACGACGAGGTGCCGTCGCGCTGTCACAGATCGGTTCGCTCGCGGCTGTCTCGAAGGCGCCGGAGACCTCCATATGAAGTTCCATCGTCCGATCTAGTGAGGTTCGTAGATCGTTTGGGAGTCACGGCAGAGAGATGTTGAGCTTTACTGAAAACGATAAGGGGAGAAATAGCCCAGAAATAATTAATCAATTGGCAGTAAGCTGCGTTTTACAACGTATCTTCTGAGCAAGCTGCGACAAGTTAAATTTCATTTCGCACGGTATGAGGATTAAGCAAAAGTAGGGATATCATGACCAAGAAAGAAATATTATTACTAAAAGAAACATAAGCTATACTCAAACGCCAATTTACATATTAACATAGACTAACTAATAACATTAATATTGCAAGTATGTCATCTAAACTTGATGACATTTTGACCTAAGACGTTAAGTGATGTCACGTGGTCTTCAAGCAATTTGACAGCTGCGAATGCTGGCACGTGCCCTAAGATACTTTGAACTGTCAAGTCTGACACTTCAATGTCACGTGTTCGCGATTGCCTCGACGCGACGAGTTGGCTTGACGCTCGCGTCAAACTTTTGGAAAAAGCTTGTCCAATGTCCGCCCTGGAGAAGGTCGAAAGGTTTGCTCGCGGGGTGCTTCAGTATTTCTTTTTTTCTTTTTCGGCGAATTGCTAACACGCGCAGGGACGGCGATGAAAATCCCGGTGCGTCGGTCGCAACACGCGGAACGCGACACATCCTCGGCTAATTAGAATATAGCTGTTTTTTATGAGCGTGGAAGAGGAAGAGGGAGCCGAGATGGGCAGCGGTGGTGGGAAGGGAGGAGCAAGGAAACACGCACCATCGCAATATTTATTATACGGGCCCCCCTGCCGGACATTCGTATTTAACGGGCCGCATTAATGGCGTCCACCCCCTCCTTCTGCCTGCTCGGAGGATACCTTGCTGCTCTTCTTACAGGATTCCGCGTCTCTGCTGACCCTGCGAGAATTTCTTGCTCGATACGTTCGATCGTTCGAAACTGCATATCGATGTGTCGCGCTTTCAATAAATATAAATTGCTGGACATTTTTCAAGATACAATTTCAAGCGCTACCCTTAAAAAATTCAATGAAGAGATTGATGGAAATGCGTACGAATTTCGTTGAAACGTCATATGACTCTATCTGAACTTTTCATTTCTATTGGAAATTTCAAGCTCATACGAGAGAGGTTGTCAATTTCTTTCATTTGATATCGTAACTTACTTTCAACGATTAAACATTACACTAAACGATTAAAACGATTTAACTGAACACACATGTCTTTCTACGTAATTTTATTTTTTATCAAATCTTTTTTATTTTTATTTTTATCAGAAACACGATTCAGTCACATAGATTTCTCTTGTATAATTCTATCAAATCTTTTAAACAGGGTGTTAACATTAGCGAGCTGAACGGTGAAATTCAAAGCAATCAACACTTTTGATATCGACTGATATTTTCTAAGTATTGGTTTTTTTAGCTGCAGATAATTTAAAACAAATATCAACCACGATTATTGTTGTAGCTACTTATTATTTGTAATAGATCTGTATACTTTTATTGATGCGCGCGTTTGTCCAAAAATGTAATTGATAGTAATTGAAGGTATGCGCTCTCACATAACTTGAAATTGATCGGTGAGATTGAAGGAATGGTTAATAGTCCTAATAAAATAATCCTAATTTTATCTGGATATTTGTGTCAATTTTTCTCTCTACCGAGATAGAATACTCTCAATCTCTCCATATAATCTAAAATAATTCTACTCCCTACACAAATGCCACTCTTTTCTTGTTTGGCATCTTAATTTTAAGTTTGGTTTACTTAATTTTACAGATGTTTGGCATCTTTTTATCACTGCGACATCGTAAACATAAATTCGCAAAACCAATGCGTACGTCGCGATCTGTCATATTTAGATTATTTACTGACAATTTTTATGCGTAATCACAAACTTTATTTCAGTATCTTGACTTATCGCGAATCAGACGGGGCCCTTTAACGAGAACCATTGAGACGCAATGCGGACACGGCCTAATTATCTAATAGAAGAACGCATACTCTTAGCCAGTCGCTCGCAATAGTCCGCTTTAATGCTCACGACGATCAGCCTGCTTTTCAACACTTCTGGCAGCTCTTCGAAGCACTCATCTCTGACCCGAACGCTTAATCGTTTTCCGCAGATTTTCCGGGTGACAGAAAGCAGAGGGACATCATCCGTAGCTCGGGAATGAAAACTCGGTCGAAACGTTTCAAGACGGAAGAGACAGCGAGTCCGATGCTGCAGCTTGAAAACTGACTCGAGCGGTTTAGACGATATTACGATATTTCGCGATCTATGCGCGCGAGATTAGTTGCGAGAATTTCTGCTGCTTTTTTTAGGAAAAATTACTTTAAGTTGTTCAAATTAACTTAAAATTACTTAAAGTTATTTATAGTTAACTATAAATAATTTTAAGTAACTTTAAGCAACTTTAAATTAATTTGAATATCTTAAAGTAATTTTTCCTAAGGGTTCCTCATAGCTTAAAAACAAAAGTAAATCAATAATATTTTTACATGGAAGAAACTATTTTTCATTCTTTATTCTGAAAGAAACTATATAGGAGTTCTGTATTCTTGAGCTCAAAACGTGTTCTTCGGCGCTTTTCCAATCGGCAATCAATTTCCAATCGACGCTTATACATTTTGGTCCCTAAAGTGTTCAGCACTTTTCTCAAACTGTGTATTTGAAAATGTAATTACATAATACGCTTCACAGGTACTGTGTTATGTCTCATAATCACTTTCGCGTTTGAGACGACGCTAATCGACAATCAGCCAGAGTGCGCGCACGAGCAAAAGAACACCGAGAAAGAGAGAGAGAAATTACAAGTGGGCCCTCCACGAAAGCCCACAAACATGACAGAGACATCACGGGATCCTGAAGTAGCTGATTCAGAAAACCCTGACAATGGTAGGACAGCATTGAATTTGACTTGCTCGACGACCAGCAAGAGCAAACCCCTTCCGGATCGCGGGACATGGAGTACCAAATTGGACTTTATCCTCAGTGTGGTAATGCATTGTTATTATCAAATGTATTATTCACCATACTTCTGCTATTTCGCAAACAACCATATAAAATTTTTCATGATTCAAAAAGTTTGACGAATGATCATGCGCGATACGGTAGATGAGCTGCGATGGCGACGTCTGTCTCCGTCTGCTTGTACATTTCCAGATAGCAGGATGACGTCTAGAGATATTTTAATGACGTATTACTGAGACGTTCGAAACGTTATTAATACTTTGTTTAACATTGTCTGCTATCTGGGGGTAAAATTATGCAGAATAACGGACCACCCTCCGATTTTAATAATCTTCGGATATATTATACAGTTGATCATCCTGAGTAACATTCAAGAAGTTTTAACCGTCGCTCGTTGTTCATTAAAAAGTTATTAACAAAGAAAGTGAATATAATGTAATTTTCTGATACTATGATGTCAAAACATGACACACACATACCGCGAGTGTATGAAGTTGGCACCCCACTTTTTGAAATTTATAATTTTGAAAGTTGTTCCAGATTGTTCTGACTTTGTATCATATTGTTCCAAAGTGATATTGCTTCATTCGAAACGGTTTTCGAATAAAACAAAAAAAAATAATTTTTTGAGCTGGCACCCCACTTTTCAAAAATCAAACTTTCTGATACCGCAATAGATTGTTCTAGTTGTTCCAAACATTGTTCCAAAAGGACAAATCCGTAAGTTGAATTATAAGTCCAAAAAATGAAAAAAATATTTTTGACCTGGCACCCCATTTTTTTAAAATAAAGCATTCCGATACCGATATAGATTGTTCTAGTTGTTCCAAACATTGTTCCAAAAGCACAAATCAATAAGTTTAATTATAAGCCCGAAAAATTAAAAAAAAGTTTTTTGACAAACAGTCTATCGGACCAAGAGTAAACTTATACTATCTTTCTTGTTCCAACCGAGATCTTTTTATTCTGAGTTGTGCTAGGCTTAAAAATTATAGTTTTAGAGTATGAGACTCGTAGCGTCATCCGTTCTCCGAAAATTCGTAAAAAAATCGATTTGACAGTACTCGACGTCAAGAGTAAACATATGCTTCCTTTCTTGTTACGACCGAGATCTTTTTGTTCTGAGTTTTGCTAGGCTTAAGAATTATAGTTTTAGAGTATGAGACTCGTAGCGTCATCCATTCTCCGAAAATTCGAAAAAAAAAATCGATTTGACAGCACCCGACGTCACGAGAAAACACATGCTTCTTTTCTTGTTCCAACTAAGATCTTTTTGTTCTGAGTTATACTAGGCTTAAACGACGAAGCAATTTCACTTAATTTTGTCATGACATTTTGTAATTATTTCCACCAATTTTCCTATAATAAAGATTAATTTTTGTAAGAAATCATCTTTTTCTTGAATTTTTGTCACCTCAGAAATATATTTCAATCATCCTTATTTTCAATCATCCAAATAATTATACTTTTTTAAATCAGTATATAGAACTTTTTTTTTTTCAGAAAATAGTTTCATCTAAAAAAACCTGAAAATATTTTTGTTAATTTTAATATGTTGTTAAGTTATGAATTTTTTTTACGAAATTACATTTTTTGTCGATTTCGGCAAATTTTAATTGTTATTGCAAAAAATTATTAATAAATGACTAAAGTAACTATTGGAATAAAATATAATCTCTCTAGAGTATCCCAGAATTTTTTCAGATTTTTTAGATGATCGATTTTTTTCGAATTTTCGGAGAACGGATGACGCTACGAGTCTCATATTCTAAAACTATAATTCTTAAGCCTAGCACAACTCAGAACAAAAAGATCTCGTTTGGAATAAGAAAGGAAGCATGTGTTTACTCTTAACGTCGAGTACTGTCAAATCGATTTTTTTACGAATTTTCGGAGAACGAATGATCTTATGAGTCTCATAGTCTAGAACTATAATTCTTAAGCCTAGAACATTTCAGAACAAAAAGATCTCGGTTGGAACAAAAAAGATAGTATAAGTTTATTCTTGGTCCGATAGACTGTTTGTCAAAAAACTTTTTTTTTAATTTTTCGGGCTTATAATTAAACTTATTGATTTGTGCTTTTGGAACAATGTTTGGAACAACTAGAACAATCTATATCGGTATCGGAATGCTTTATTTTCAGAAAATGGGGTGCCAGGTCAAAAACATTTTTTTCATTTTTTGGACTTATAATTCAACTTACAGATTTGTCCTTTTGGAACAATGTTTGGGACAACTAGAACAATCTATTGCGGTATCAAAACGTTCGATTTTCGAAAAGTGGGGTGCCAGCTCAAAAAATCATTTTTTTTGTTTTATTCGAAAACCGTTTCGAATGAAGCAATATCACTTTGGAACAATGTGGTACAAAGTCAGAACAATCTGGAACAACTTTCAAAATTATAAATTTCAAAAAGTGGGGTGCCAACTTCATACACTCACATACCGCCCGACAGGGCGGGCGAGTGCGCTTGCTTGCCAGTGTGTGTGTGTGTGTAAGCGTTTATAATAATGTTGTGTACAATGAATAATTAATGATTCCTCTGTATTAAATTTAACAACATTTTCGCAACGTGGTCACTTTAGTTTTTCACGTACAACATTTTTTGCGCACAAATAATTTAACAAATCGATACGTCTCGTGGTTAAAGTGAAAAATTCATAGAATTTCATTTTTTAGCAGGTAACTATATGAAAGACTATCGTAAACTGGCTTATCATTCCTTACAAATACGTTTCATAGGCCTAATGTCAATAATAGTTCATTTCATGCCAGTAAGAAATGTAAATAAAACAGCTTACGCTTATCGAACAACATGATAATAGGAAACTACAATATCAGTATATATAGTATCAGAAAATTACATTATATTCAATACACTTTCTTTGTTAATAACTTTTTAATGAACAACGAGCGACGGTTAAAACTTCCTGAATGTTACTCAGGATGGTCAACTGTATAATATATCCGAAGATTATTAAAATCGGAGGGTGGTCAGTTATTCTTCATATTTATCTTATAACTTTTATAAATCACCTATTTTCCATTGATATTTCGTGTATATGTAACATCAGATTTTTTTAAATTACCACTTTCCTCGTGTTGTAACATTTGCTACCTCTTCAAGGTCGGCTTGGCGATCGGTCTCGGTAATGTCTGGCGATTTCCGTACCTCTGCTATAAGAATGGCGGCGGTGCCTTTCTCATTCCATACTTCTTGACGTTATTCCTCGCTGGTATTCCCATGTTCTTCATGGAGCTAGCTCTGGGTCAGATGCTTACGGTGGGCGGTCTCGGAGTCTTCAAAATTGCGCCCCTCTTCAAGGGCATCGGTTACGCTGCCGCCGTCATGTCTTGTTGGATGAATGTCTATTACATCGTCATCCTGGCTTGGGCGATTTTCTATTTCTTCATGTCGATGCGTAGTGGTGAGTGTATTTGTATTTATTATCTACTACATCGGCTGTCTTCGTTGGGAATACACTTCTATACAAGCTCACAATGGGCAGACGTCAAAATATAAGAAATATTTATTGAATATTTATTGAATATTGCGTGATATTTTTCGTAGAGTTGCCCTGGGGAAGCTGCAACAACTACTGGAACACAAAGAACTGTGTGAATCCGTACGACAGAAGCTCATTGATCTGCTGGAGTCAGGTATCGGCGAGGAACCACAGCGTCGTCAAGATGTGCACGATCAATCAGGTTAATGTGACAGTGACCGAGCTGACGGATCCTGTGAAGGAGTTTTGGGAGTCAGTATAAATAGAATTTCTCATTTCTTCTCGAGTACGTAAGACGTGCAGTTTGCAAAATTTTTCTATCAGCAGGCTTGCATCGTACAGTTACTCTCGAAACGTTGCGATCCTTTGCATTATTTGTCCGTGACGAATCGCGACCGTTTCTATCTTCCAGACGTCGAGCATTGCAAATCAGCGAGGGCGTAGAATACGTGGGCAACATCCGATGGGAATTGGCGGGCACGTTACTACTGGTGTGGATACTCTGTTACTTTTGCATCTGGAAAGGCGTCAAGTGGACTGGCAAAGTCGTCTACTTCACCTCTCTTTTCCCATACGTGCTGCTTACTATTCTCCTGATTCGCGGCATTACGCTACCCGGAGCAATGGAGGGTATTCGGTTCTATATCAGTCCAAACCTATCTAAACTTCGGGAATCCGAGGTAAACTCAATTATCTTTCTTTATCTATTGACTGTTTAAGTCTGCTTAAAGGACTATCCTAAATAAATCTTGCTAAACAATCAATTACTATGAGAACGGTATCATATCAGGAAGGTATTAAATTTGATATTTCTGTAACAATCGATTGTGTTTACATACAGTTTCCCACTTAAAAGATTTGATAGAATTACGTAAGGAAAAGCAATGTAACTGAATCGTGTTTTTGGGAGAAAATAATCAAAACGTATAGAAATGTATGTGTATTCACACAGATAAATATCTAATTGAAAGTTACAAAATCCTACACAGCAGAGATATATCATGGGGATATCCTAGAAATGTTGTTTTAGGATATCCAAATGATATATTTTAAATATTTCTGTTATGTAGGTATTTCTGTTATGTAAAACAAAAGAAATTGAACTTAGATCAGAAAAGCCAAGAAGAGCCCACGTAAGATTACGAAACATTCACAAATTCACATTACATTCACGAATGAATTTATTAGTTTTTCTGATCTAAGTTTTGTACATCTGAAAACCTGATTATTTATTCAATACGAAAGAAATTGATAATTTTTTTGTTTATATAAGTAGGAATGTGAAAAATTGAAGTTTTCGATAGAAATGACAAGTTCAGATAAAGTCATATAGCATTTCAATGAAATTTTTATATATTGTATTTCTATCAATCCTTATCGGATTTTTAAAGCAAAATTACTAGTGATGTGTTACAAATTTTGGATTTCTTGAATTTAATTCACGAACAATTGTGCTAAATAAAGATATTCTGTAGAAGAGGAAGTCCCAAGTACATGTTATCTGTGTATTATTTGATAACTATGTACATACATATGAAATATTGATTATATATCTAATAAGCCTGAGAATACTTTAAGGATATCCATGCATATTCTGTTACGTTATTATCTATGAGAGCTATTGCATTCACGTGAAATCGTATTTGCAGGTGTGGATCGATGCGGTGACGCAAATTTTCTTCTCGTACGGTCTCGGCCTCGGCACCCTGGTGGCCCTCGGCAGTTACAACAAGTTCACCAATAACGTCTACAAAGACGCGCTGATAGTCTGCTCAGTCAATTCATCCACCAGCATGTTCGCGGGCTTCGTAATATTCTCGGTGGTTGGTTTCATGGCACATGAACAGCAGAAGCCGGTCGCCGAGGTAGCCGCTTCTGGACCGGGATTGGCTTTCCTCGCTTATCCCTCCGCGGTTCTTCAATTGCCAGGCGCACCTCTCTGGTCGTGTTTGTTCTTCTTCATGTTACTGCTCATCGGACTTGACTCCCAGTTTTGCACTATGGAGGGCTTCATCACGGCTATGGTACTTTCTTGAAGGGCGCAGTAACTCTACTCTGTACACGCAAAGTTCTTCCTTCAATTATTTGAAAATTTGAACACACACACAGGCACATGCATGAATGCATGAGTTGGAATTAATCGATTGATTACTTCTTCAGGTGGACGAGTGGCCTCAGCTGTTACGCCGTCGTAAAGAGGTTTTTATCGCTATCGTGTGCGCTCTATCCTATCTTATCGGATTATCATGCATCTCTCAGGGTGGCATGTACGTCTTCCAAATTCTCGACTCGTACGCCGTCTCCGGCTTTTGCCTCCTGTTCCTCATTTTCTTCGAATGCATATCGATCAGCTGGGCGTTTGGCGTGAATCGATTTTACGACGCTTTGCGCGATATGATAGGATATTACCCTCTTATGTGGTGGAAATTCTGCTGGACGGTGACCACGCCGATGATCTGCGTTGTGAGTATATGCAACCTTTTATCATCGCAGATTTGGGAAAGATCTAGTAATATCAATTTGATTGTTGCTTTTTTCGCTTTTAACAGTCTACCTCTTAAAAATATCAAATGCTCCTCTTTTAAATCTTTTTAAATTTTCCTTGAGATAATTAACAGCACAATCCCAAATTACATAGGAATATTCTTTACGAATATTTATATTCTATGAAATACTTAAATTATTCCTTTATAATTATAGAAACAAAGTCAATGTGATTAATCTACATTTTGTAAAGTCAATAACATTTTGTTTTTACAATTATAAAGGAATAATTTAAGTATTTCATTTCGTAGATACGTACTATTACTAAGCTATGATAAATACATATTATTATTAGGAACATTAGGAAAACAGTTACATGAATGCATCGCACATGAACACTAAATATATCTTACGAATGTTCTAAGTACATTTTTTCTATTACAAATATAAGAATCTCTACTTGCAATTGTACGTATGTCTCTCGAATATTAGATTCTGGAATTAACATTTGTATTTCAGAAGAATACTCAGAACATTTTATTTGGGATAATAATGTGCAAAAATTATAGCAGATACATAGTGAATGAAAATTCCCTGCATTTCCTTGAATCTATGAAAGTTGTAGTTTTTCTTCGTTTAAAGAAATGAAGTTTGATGAAGTGAGTCCTTGTTTTAATGGAATATTAGCTGATGACTTATCCATTGAGATATTTAACATTTAATGGTGAAAATTAGGGCGTGTTCGTCTTCAACTTAATTCAGTGGACACCCGTGAAATATTTGGACTATGAATATCCCTGGTGGTCACATATATTAGGCTGGTTCACGGCGCTATCCTCTATGCTCTGTATACCTGGATACATGGTCTACGCTTGGATGACTACGCCGGGTGATAATAGTACGGTAAGTACGAGCGAGCTGATGGAAGAAATTTCTGCTCGACTGGCAGAAATCAGCTCAACATTTTTATTCTCTCTTCCAGAAATACAAATTGCTGATCCAGATAGAGGACGATGTCGCGACTCTACGGACGAAGATGGGTCAACCGCCAGTCGAACTATCGCCCCTGTAATTTTTGCTTCGATCGGCAGCAAGCTCGTATAGTTCGATGATATTTGTTCATCATGACCTTGTAAAAGTGGGTGGGAACAGGAATTTATTCTGTAAAGTCGTGAACTTTTAAGCTTTAAGATTGAGAGGGATAATTTAGAGGTTTCCAAATGCCTCCTCACCCTTTCTTCGTTATTTTCTGTGCTTTTGTACACATTTTTCAATTCCTTTGACGAAACTAAGTTACTCAATTTTTCTTCGTAAGAATTGTACATTCAATTACACGCGCACATTATTTCGCAGAAAGATTAGAAGATTATTTATATAATGTTTAGAATATTTCAATGCTGTTATGTTGGAAAGGGATAGAAGCGATTGTTTCCAAACCGATTTCCGATTCGGCGTATGATTTTAGAGGACGAATTCCTGTCAATTCCCTTTAATCCACTTGCTATTTGCAAGATACGATCACGCGGCCGCGATAGGTCGGTCGAAGTCCGTCGTTCTTGATTGAAGATTGACGCGCGACTCGACTGGACGCGAGGCGGAGAGCCAGCAATCAAACGAATGCCGGAAACGTACCCGACACTGCCCTCGGCCCCCACATCCTCTCGAAAAGAAAAAAGAAGCTTCGCTGGCTTTGTACATAAATTATTTATTTGTCATCGTAGCGATTACCGATAATCTGTCCGCGCATATCGCGGTAACCTTAGACGTGTTCGCACTTACGTGTTACGCCCGTACTTTCGTATCAGTTTAATGTCGCCTTACGCGCTAAGTGTGGTTGCGTCTCCCTTCGAAGATGCATGAGACGTCAACTCGAGATAAGGTCTCGTCACAGGTGAGAGACCATATCCGGCGCCAAAACGCGTACCGCGAGAATACGATTGCTCACCACCTGGTCGTACTTTATGACCTGCGGGATAATTCTTGAAAAATATTGCATACGATATTTAAATGAAAATCTATAGTATACGTAACATGAACTATACATTTTCATTGAAATATCTTACATTGAGAGAACCCAGATAGCACAGATAATTCAAAAGGAATTCAAAAAGAATTCAGTCGTATGTTACCAATTCTGAGTTCATTTTCAGATTCAAAAAGAATTCTCCAGAGTTCAGTTCAGTGAAAAAAATTTTTTTTGTATCTAAAAATGAATTCAGAATTGGTGACATACGACAAAATTCTTTTTGAATGTGCTGTGCTATCTGGGAAATTATCGGATAAAAATAAACAAACGGATATTTCCGATCAAAATATGATGAATTTTTGTTTCAATCAGAAAATATTCGATGAGAAATATCGGTTCATAATTTTTTCATCGGTTTATCTGATGAAATGTCATTATAATCAAAAGTATCTGATAAAATGTAATCGGATATCTTGATCGGATATAAAAGTTGATCGAAATTTAATCTAAAATATCCGCTTATTAGTTTTTTATTGAATAATTTCTCTCAGTGTATGTAATACTTTTCACGAGTAAGGCTTCTGGTCGCGTAAAGAGTTTTCTTCTCTCGCAACACATACAGAGGTGTAAAAATAATTCAGATATTTTTTATTTCTTCATTAGTTTCCTCTAACTGTGCTTTTCAATAAATGTCTAATTTCAGGAAATGTTATAGTTTATTAACAATATTATAGACTTAAAATGATTACAGGTTTGTATTGTACGACTAAATTACATAGATTAATGACGGATTATTTCATAGAAATAAACTTTATATCTAAAAAGTAAATTTTCTAGTACTTCTCTCAATGTATAAGTAACCCGCTATTTCCTATATAAAAATTTACTTTTACATACAAAATTTTACAACAGAATCTAATATAATATGTGATATATTCGTCATAATTTATATAATTTATATAATTTAGTCATACAATATGTCATACCCCTTATAGAAATATTATACTAAAAATCATTGATAATTACTTATTATCCAGTATTTTTAATACTGAAAATAAGTAATTATCAATGATTCTTAGTATGATATTTCTATAAGGGACAAACCTGTAATTATCTTAAACCTATAAAGAGTATTGATAACAAATTGTAATATTTTTTGAAATTAGACATTTATTGAAAAGAGCAATTGGAGGAAATTAATAAAGAAATGAGAATTGTGTTCCAATAATTTTCACACCTCTAGTTCTATTGTCACTTAGTGCTATTGTCACGCAAGTTATCGCGAATTGTTGCAAGTACAACCACGTAGTTGTAGTCGTCGAAAGCCGCTCGTGGGCGGCTCGTATCGTATAAATGTACCGGGTGCCCTCCGATTCTGCTATCTTGCCGCTCACGATGGAGCGGACGGATGGTCCATTCCTGTGTACGCATATTTATGCTGCCATAAATATTATAAATAGGCGCGCGTTTTATATATATATATATATATATATATATATATATATATATACATACATACACACACACATATATATTATCGCATCGCTCTTATTTAAATAGCTAGTTACCTAATTTATTTCGTGTACCTGTCGTTAGATCTGCGCCGTCGGCAGAGCAACAGTAGCGATAGCGAGGCCATCGATATAGCCACTCGACGGGAACATTGCAATATCATTGTAAAATTATCGACAAAAGGCGCGGTGAGTTTGCACACATTACAGGCGGCAATGGCGCACCACGGATTGAAATAGAAAATATAATTCCGATATTGTTTACCGCCATTTGTATATAATACATCTTTCACTCGACATTTGTACGAAATGTTAAGTGAAATGTATCGTACACAAGTATCGTATTAACTTTCATGGCATTATGGAATTATGTATTTTTTATTTTACTGTCGTCTCTTATAGTGTGAAACGCGACACAGAGTTGCATGAGCAGACACACACACACACACACACACACACACACGTATATTCGTATGCGATATGAATTACAAAAATATGGAAGAACGCACGTTCGAGTCTTTGCTGATTGCAGCGTAAGTTTAACGCTTAACGCGCGATAATAGAGACGTGGTACCCGGGGAAATAATGTTTTTATATATATAATTATATAAAATTATATATGATTATATATAAGTTATATACGAATTTTGTCCGTACATGGTCACACATATAATCACCCATACAGCACAAGATCTCCTGGAGACGTCCCAGAGATGTCTTGAGGACGTAGAACGTTCCCAGGACGTTCTCAGGACGTACTCTGGATGTCTCCTGGACACCTGTGCTATTAGGACATGTATGTCCACGGAAGAGAAATTATATTAAATAAAAAGAGAAGGATATAATTTTATTTAACTAAACATCGACATCATGTGCTGTTAGAAGCATAAGCTTTTTTTACTTTGATTGTAATTATATAACAGTATTTTTGTTGTTGTGGACATGCATTATGCGTGATTATATATGACCGTGTATAGGCAAAGTCATATATGATCTTTTTCCCGAGTATATATATAAATAGAAATGTCTATATATAATATTGGGATTATTTATTGTTAGCGCTAATGATTCCGATTCATATTGTATTTTATTTTATTTTACCGATAGTACAAACAATAAATTTTAAAGTATATTAATAAACGATGTTATCGTGTATCTGTGCACTTTTGCATTAGAATAAATTAGGATAGTATTAGGATAAATTATAAATAAATTACAAATAAATAAAAACAAAGAAATGTATGTCTCCAAGAAGCGTTCTTTAATAAGATAAAATTGAAACAGATCACGTGATTGGTGACGCGTTAGTTTGTGTAGGATATGCGGGTGCTTCAAAACCGGATTCCCAGATAGCACAGAGAATTCAAAAGAATTCAAAAAGAATTCAGTCGTATGTCACTAATTTTGAGTTCCATTTTCAGATGTAAAAAGAATTCTTCAGAGCTCAGTTCAGTGAAAAGAATTCTTTTTGTATCTAAAAATGAACTCAAAATTAGGACATACGACTGAATTCTTTTAGAATTCTCTGTGCTATCTGGGCACTTTTAAAATTGTACCATTTTTCTGTTTAACTCCGTATCTAAAATAAATATGTAATCCATTTTATCTGAATAACTGCAATCATATCATAATTGCTTTAATTATGTTGAATTTTACCTTAATAGGAATTTTACCTTACAGGTATTTTGCTATTAAGTTATTATGCTGCTTGTTTATTTATTTGAGGATTCCAACCTATTCTTATTCGTGTACGTCGCCATATTGCACTACACCGCTACCTTATGGTCTGTAGTCTGTTCTTTTCAGCTGCACTGCTGAACTGTAAGTTAGAGTGAGAAAACATATACTTGTCTCACTTTAACTTATTGCACCAGTTCAGCAGTGCAGCTGAAAAGAACGGGAGCGTCCCGATTGACCACGGTACGACTGGACACAACCAACCGATGAAAAGAATTATCTAGTGAATTACTAGGTCGAATCAATCATTACAATCTGTGTTCAATCGTATCATGGTCAATCGGGTTCTACCCAAAAGAACAGACCACTAGGGCAGGCAGTGTAGTGTTCTATTGTATTGAATATCGCTGCACTGAGGAAAAGAGTAGCGATGATGACGTCATAAAGGGTGCTTTCCAATTGCTTAACACACTTGACACACACGTACACAAAACCACTTTATTGATCACATATTATCTAAAATATCTTGTAAGATAATATGCAACCAATAAACTGGTTTTGTGTAACACAATGTACGCAACTGGAAAGTACCCAACTGGAAAGTCGCAACTGGAAAGCCGCAACTGGAAAGTCGCCGTAATCGTTGAAAAGAACACTTTAGTGTACGCTGTTTGCACTAGTGCTGCCAATATAGAGGAAAAGAATAAACTCGTAGTCTGATGCAGGCTTTAGGGCTATCGCACACAAATTGACATAACTGCATATGCAAAGCATAAGATCGTATGGACCAATGAGCATCGAATATTAAGCATCGAACACCAATATGGCGACTTAATACTCAATGCTCATTGGTACATACGGTCTTATGCTATGCATATGCAGTTATGTCAATTTGTGTGCGATAGCCCTTACACCATGGGGTGCGTTCAGATTCCTCATCCGGGTGCACTCTATTACTAGAAACACTATAGTATATGTGACATATACTATAGCACTTCTAGTAATAGAATACAGATTTCCCGGGAGGGGAATCTGAACGCAGGCATGCATGGGAGCCATCCCTTCTACGCGCTGTTAGCGTGCTGCAAATATAACTGAATCGGTATTCCTGTGCGGAATGTGTGTGCGGTGTAACCTTTCAGGAAGTGTGGCGAGATGAATACGGAAGAACTTTGCAGTATTAGTATTTTTCCATTAGTCACAACTCCGTTCGCGGTACAATGGTCGGCCGACAATCAGATCTCGTTAATTACAGAAAAAGGCGTTCACATATTGGTAAGTCATTTTTTTTTTTAATTAACACGACATTTCATTAATTCTCGTTGCATTTACACTGAAGAAAAGAGCCGAATGTCTCTGAGTAATTTTTTTCAAGAATTGTCACACGTAAATGCGGAGCCGGCAAGTCCGAGATGCAACTAACATAATTCTATCTTTGCAGGAACTGCAACCTTCTCCCATGTCTCCCAATCCTATTGTCAAGTTTTCCCGCTCCTTCGTCAATCCCTCCGATATTTTGCCAGCATGTGCATTTGTAAATGAGATAGAATCCTTGATATGGAAGCAGGAACGCGAAAAGATGTACTCTCTTCTCATGGAGGAGGCGATCACACCAAAGTTGGATGGTGTAAATGAGATTGTCATCAGAGTAACCAAAGTTGAATGGTCACCCAAAAACTTAATCTCTCCAAATCAATGTGCATTGGCCATACTGACTACAGCAGGAGCAGTGGAGCTGTTGCATAAAGTCTCCAACGAGTGGTACTCGATATGTGATATCTCAGCACTCCAGTTGGATATTGTGCAGGCAGGGATCAAATCTAGTCTGAATAAATGTATGAACTCACCTAGCAATCTGAACAATGTGACAACTGAGAACATGAGACAGCTGCAAGCTTGCTCTATGGCATGGAGCGAGCTTTTCAAGATGGGTAAGGCCTCCTTTGCATACTTTGCTGTAGCTTACCGCAGTAGTGATATATCGATCTGGAGGATTCCCAGAATCACAGATTTCATGGTGAGCTTGCAAGCCACATTAGTTGGTAGATTAGAGCTGAAGACTAGTGTGAGAATCAACATGCTACGCTGGATTAGTGCCAGCGCGAATGAACATTTGCTTGTTGTTGGATATGTTGACGGTCGAATATATGGCATAAAGTTGACGTGTGACTCTGATAAGTTTGAGATCGAGTTCATAGAGAAATATATTAGTGACGATCGCATAGCAATAAATTATTTTCACATTGTTCACAAAGATAAGTTACGCATCAAGATTCTTGTTGCTAAAGGGATTTATCTTTTATTGTTGTGCATAAATTGGACTGGATCGTTAAAGAGTGTGCAGCATCTACGAACAGAAGGATTCAGTATTACAGGTATGCATTTTTGTAAATATTGTTATGTGAAACAGGATGTTGCATTTTAATTGCCCATCTGAAATATCTCACAAAGACTCTCTAAGAGTCTCAAAGACATTGTAAAGAAAGATGTATCAGACAGAAGTATGGTTTCAATGGGGAAAGAAAATGATGATATTCACTTGACCTTGAGAAGACCTGTTAAAGTCAATTTTAATTTTTCTTTTCTGGAATTTTTTTAATACAGACCTCAGTCTTTTTCATTCCATGTATAAGAATACTAGTTAGAGTTAAGTGATAGAAAAAAAAGAATACTTTCTAAGATATTTTACATTTTATTCAAATTTTTTTCACAATACAAAATATATCTTGTGAAAGTATTGATTTTGTCATTTTTACTCCTCAGTACTTTTATACAGATAATTAGAAGAATTAATTTGTGTTAAAAGAACTATATATATGATTCTATTTTAAAAAATTTTGATCTTAATAAATTTTTTCAAGATCAGGTGAATATTATCCCCCTACCTCTTGGAAACCATACTTTTGTTTGACATATTTTTTTCTACAATGTCTTGTTTTTTAAATATTTGAAGTAACAATTAAAATGAAATATTCTGTACATTATAAGCAGCTATAAGCATATATTATAGATATATTATAATTCATATATTATAAATTGTGCATTATATCAGTTTGTATGTTTTATCAACACAACAAACAAGAATAAAGGTTATGAAAATTCAAAGAATAAAGAAAGGTTTAACATGAATTAACACAAAACTCTGTGCATAAAGTTATATAAAGTAAACAATAATCTGTCTTGTATAAACTGTATAGACTGTTCGAAAAATCCCGGAACGATATAATATTTCGGAAAGAAAGCTTTTTATAAAAAAATGCTTTCTTTTCGAAATATTAGATTTCCTAAATTTTTCAAACAGCTTGTATGTGTACAATATTAATAATTTTTAAACGATTGTATAACGATTTTTTGAGTCCTTTTCAATAAATATTTATATCTTTTTCATGTATAAATATAAGAAATGATAAACAAAAGAAATGATACATACTGTCTAAGTGATGAACCTAAATATGGTCAAATATATTAAAAGTCAAGATTGAAACTCAAAACTCTGAATTAATTGGCAGCAATGTACTTGTCGTAATATTCACCCAAAGACCGATGAATAAAAATAAACAAATATCTACTCCATATAAACGCTATTATACACACAGTTCAGGATGTGGCTTTTATTAGTTCTTTTCTTGTTGCTCATAAATTTTGTTGTATTATACAAATGTTGCCTGTTTTGTCTCTAAATCATATGGAACATATGTTGTTTTAGGTTTAAGCCCTATTACTGCTCAGCGTTTTTTAATTGGCACACAGAATGCTCACATTTTCATTGTTGACACACAGTCGGACAATTTAGTGTGTACTGATATTACAAGTCACTTACCGCAGACGCGTGTCCAATACTTAGGACTTGCTCACTCGCCAAATAGAGTAATGTTTTTAAATATAACCAGCCCGAATATGGTTTATGATCATTTGGTAATGAGGGAGCCAAGTACAATACACATATTCACTTTGAAAGGCGTGGAGTGGGATCCGTTATCCGTCATTAATAACAGTACAAGTCTTCAAGATATTTGGGACTGCATGGAGATGCTCCGAGTAAAAGCCGCTAAAGCGGAGGATCCGACTATGGTGTTATGTCCGACGACGAATAAGTCGGAATCGCTGTATAACTTGCAAATTTCAATGTGGATGACTGTGATGGTTGATGTATGTAAAGTGAAAAAGCCAATTCCGAATATGGATCACATAAGGCAGAGTAAGATATCGCGAGAATTCCCGCTAATCTTTATACATTCCACTTGCACGTATCTTGAGAATTTGAAGAAAAAGATGACGCTGTCGAACGATCAGAAGCTTGTTATAAGTTTACTGAGGAAGTATCTGAAAACGTATCTCGCGGATGAAGACTACGACGAGAAAAACGAGAGCGAGGAGAGGGATAAGAAGAAGGAGAGAGACATGAGGGAGGAGAAAGTGCGTCAATATGCTCAGGAAACATTGAAAGCAACCGCGTCCTACACCGCATTGGTCGAAAAGTGCAGCTTATGCGATGAGACGATAAATGAACTCTCGTGGAACGTTACGTCGTGCCCGTCGGGTCATAAGTTACCCAGGTGTGCGATAACATTACTGCAAATAACGTCGTTGGAGTATCGGGTCTGTCGGATATGTGGACAGATGTTTCATTTGTGCCTGGACCAAGTGAGTCAGGAACCGTGCTGTCAGTTTTGCGATATCCCTCTTTTACATAATGAGTACGCTCTCGACGTGGAGGAGTCAAAGTTGTACGGGAAAAATTTGTCGCAGCTACAAGTTAACGTCACGGAATCGTCGAAGGAGCAAGAACTAGAAGAGCCGCACGAGAAGAGCCAACGTAAGAACAAGTGGAATACTACGGATACGTACGCGGTAGTTGTGAATAATGGCGACGAGTCAAGTAATATTACAGAGACGTGGAAGAAATTTTAATGGCTATGCAAAGCAATTGTAAATATAGGATTCTAAATGTAAATAATAGTTTCTGATTTTTGTTGGTTAAATGATATTTGTTAGTCAAATATATTTATTTCATATGCAGGATCACTAAAAATTTGTATTTTCAAATTTATCAAGAGTAAAACTCTTTCAACCTGCCAAATATTATATGTTCTTTGCATATTTTTATAATTACGGTAACAGTTCCAATTATGGGTCGAGCCTCAATTTTGGGTCAGACTTGGTTTATTAATATATAGAAAGAATACATTTGTTTTTATTACATTAATAAAAACACGTAAAAAAATTTTAAATATATCTAATATTTCTTTAATAAAAAATCTGTAATATATTTTTAATTTTTTTTATATCTTTAATAAAAAAAAATCTTTAATATCTTTAGTATCTTTTTATACAAAAGTATCCCTAATTTTTATATTCTAAAATTACTTTAGCACACATTCTTATCAGATCTGTGTGTAAGTTTCTGAAGTTTTTTAGGTAACTTTGTTTATATTTAAAAAATAATATATACATATTTGATCAAAGTATTTTCCCTTACTTGCTACTTTAGGCTGATTGTTCCAGCTTCTTGATAAGCTATTTGACTTAAAATATGAATCTGTTTAATTTGAAAGAAAAACAAGGACATAATTTAACTGTCAAAGTTGTATCCCAAAAGTCTTCTTTTTGAAGAAAATTTTATTCAATATTTATAGTTACATATACTATAGAGTATCAAGTAAAATTTCCTCAAAAAGAATGTTTTTGAGTGCAACCCACGTAGCTTACCAAGAGGTTGGAACGATTGACTCTAGATCATTTTTCAAGCAATAAATAATGGATTTCTCGATTGAAGGATAACAAATCCAATAAATTCGTCCATTCATATTGCTATTTCAACTTCATTTATATATTGGGTATCGGAGAGATAGTTCTGCATTGGTATAAAAAAATAGGTAAAAATCGGGAAAGGCAACGTCTGAACTACATGCCTAATAGAACTTTCACTCGAGCCCCAGTAAGGTGTCTCTAGTTGCACAAATAACACATGGCCAAGCGTTGTGGTAAAGCAAGATGACTTCGATTTTCTTCCTCTGTTCATATTCTTTCTGAATTTCTTTGTTCAACGATTATAATTGGCGACTGTAACGCTCTGCAGTAATCGTTTCATCAAGTTTGAGCAGTTTATAATATAGCATGTCTTTCTGGCTTCACTAAATACAAAGAAGAATCTTATATGCACTTTGGTATCAAAAAAGAAGATTGGATCTAACCGTTCCTTTTTAAGGTTATTGTAATGAGGTTAATCACTATCTTCCATAGAAAATTCTTCTTTAATGTATATGTGGTTCTCTGAGTGATTGTCTGGCTGGTTTAGCTGGTTGTTTAGCTGATTGTTTAGCTGGTTGTCTGACTGATTGTTTGGCTGGCTGTCTGGCTGATTGTTTGGTTGGTTGTCTGGCTGATTGTTTGGTTGGTTGTCTGGCTGATTGTTTGGTTGGTTGTCTGGCTGATTGTTTGGTTGGTTGTCTGGCTGATTGTTTGGTTGGTTGTCTGGCTGATTGTTTGGTTGGTTGTCTGGCTGATTGTTTGGTTGGTTGTCTGGCTGATTGTTTGGTTGGTTGTCTGGCTGATTGTTTGGTTGGTTGTCTGGCTGATTGTTTGGTTGGTTGTCTGGCTGATTGTTTGGTTGGTTGTCTGGCTGATTGTTTGGTTGGTTGTCTGGCTGATTGTTTGGTTGGTTGTCTGGCTGATTGTTTGGTTGGTTGTCTGGCTGATTGTTTGGTTGGTTGTCTGGCTGATTGTTTGGTTGGTTGTCTGGCTGATTGTTTGGTTGGTTGTCTGGCTGATTGTTTGGTTGGTTGTCTGGCTGATTGTTTGGTTGGTTGTCTGGCTGATTGTTTGGTTGGTTGTCTGGCTGATTGTTTGGTTGGTTGTCTGGCTGATTGTTTGGTTGGTTGTCTGGCTGATTGTTTGGTTGGTTGTCTGGCTGATTGTTTGGTTGGTTGTCTGGCTGATTGTTTGGTTGGTTGTCTGGCTGATTGTTTGGCTGGTTGTCTGGCTGATTGTTTGGTTGGTTGTCTGGCTGATTGTTTGGTTGGTTGTCTGGCTGATTGTTTGGTTGGTTGTCTGGCTGATTGTTTGGTTGGTTGTCTGGCTGATTGTTTGGCTGATTGTCTGACTGGTTGTTTGGCTGATTGTCTGACTGGTTGTCTGGCTGATTGTCTGACTGGTTGTCTGGCTGGTTATTTCGCTGTTTGTCAATAGCACGTTCACGTCGTGGACGTGAGATCCACTTCCCTTTCCTGTGTATCTTTCCCAATGCATGCAGGCGTCGAAGTACAGTCGTGTGATTTACAGCAAGCTTTTTCGCCAGTACTACAGACGATTGACTTTCATCTTTGGCAAGTAGAGCTTCCAAATCTTCGTCTTTCATTTCCTGAGGCCGTCCACAACGAGGTTTGTCAGTAATATCAAAATTTCCCTTTCGAAATCTTGAGAACCAGACTTGACACGTACGTTTAGATACAGCTTGCTCACCATAGGTATTGCAAATAATTCTACATGTTTCGGCGGCATTTTCTCCACGATGAAAATAATGTAGTATACAGTGTCGGATATGCATACTTTCGACCTCCATTTTCGATTAAATCAAAAATATATTTAAGTAAACAAATCTGAACTGTCATATGTAGGTTCGAATGCAGGTTAACCATAGACTTAGTATACATAGACTGCGTGTTCTCAATAGGTTTGTTCTTTTGCTCTGTACTGCTGAACAATAAGTTAGAGTGAGAAAAAATATATTTATCTCACTTTAACTTATTGCACCAGTTCAACTAAAAAAACAGACTAGCTGTCTTTTATTCCCATAAATTGAAGGGTCCTAATTTTTGAAAAATATCGTATACGATATTTCGATGAAAAACTATAGTTCATGTCACGTATACGATACTTTTTTTTAAAGGCTCTCTCGGCTACGGCCATCTTGATTTATAACATCAAAAGTATAAAATACATGCTCAAAATTCTGTGCAGAATATATTGAAATAAAGAAATATATTTAAAATATAATTTTTTTTTCTTTTTTAACTTTAAATTCTCAATGGATCCATATACATAATTAGTTATCTCATACATGAATATATGTTCATTTTTTAGTGATATGGAAATAGGTAATTGTAGTAAAATAAAATCAGAGATAGATCAAATGTGTACATTATTTTTCAACTATATTTATTATGCTATTTATATCAAATGTATTACTTAAGAATGTAGTCCTGAGGATACGATATAATTTGTGGGAAACTGTCTCTCTCTTCCTGCGGGATGTGATCCAATCGGACAGGGACAGGTCTTAGTTGTTTGATTTGATTAGATACATTTTTCAAGATATCTTCGGGCACTTTATCATCCGGAAATATATGTAGCCTTTGCATATTATATCGCCGTTGCAACGATTTCGGCAGTGCTCTGTATACAGCTTTTTCCACGATCTATTTGTGTTTTATATATGATCGATTAAATGACAAACAAAACTTACATGCATTATTTTATATCTTATCATTGTTATGCTTTCTTAGTTACCAAAGTTGGATCCTTTTTATGCAACTCCCATGCAAGAGTCCAAGTATCACCTTTGTGATAGGTGTTATGATGGAAATATACACGTTTGCGCCATTCATCTCCACATAATGCAATATGACTGCTGTTTATTACCACTACATGATCGCCACAATAGTCTATAAGGACATTATTAAGCGATATCAGAAGTTAATTTAAGTTCATTTCTCTTTATGTTTTCTCTTTATTAATCATTCCTTTTCTTACATAATATCTTGCAAAAACTTATATGTATAATTTATCTCCTTAAATTTTATGTAGTGATAAAGTTTCATATAAGATCTATTAATATTAGAAGATTTATAATATATAGAATGTCCCATTTTAATTACACACAAATATCTTAAGAGTTATGATGTTGCAAAAACCATATACGATTGCATTTGAAAAATTAAAATTCATTTTGACAAGTCTTTCTAAAATCAAGTGAATATTACAATCTTCTTTATCCTTTGAAATCATATAATTTTTGTTTGATATTTTCTATAAGTTATTTTTGAGATATTGAAATATGCAATAAAAATGAGGCTGTGCTCATAGTTGGATTTTAAACAATTACAAGTCATATTATATTCTTAATACCAGTAATAGTGATTGTAGAAAAACAGCAATTTTTATATCCAATTTCATTTTCTTTGTATTTAAAATGATTCAAGCTAAATGTTTAGATTTAATGTTCTTGTTTTCAGCATCGTATAAGTGATACACTTACTAAAGTATATTTAAGAAGTATATTTCTTAATAAGTAGATATGCAAGAAGTAAATACATATATGACTGTTGTTTAAGGGATTGACAGCTAATTTTTGTATGATATATAAGCGTAATAGAGGTAATTAAAATGAAATTACACTTACTCATTGGGTGATATATTGGTTTATGTAATCCCAAAAGATAAGTTGTTATTAAATTTGCACTTTTGTACGGGTCTTGCCACTTCGCATCATATATGTGCCAAATTCGGGCAAACGTGCCCCAATGCTGCGAATAATTGTGTACATATATTATAAAATAAAATAATGTATATATATTAATTATTATATAAAATTAGCTAGGTCAAACTGGATGCAACATAAAACTCGAGAAAAATGCTTCTATATTACAAGAAATGTTTACAGAAATTATAGTCATAAACCTAATATTGTTAAAGAACAAACCTGTCCTCTTCGAGCAAGAGACATTTCCAACAATAATTTTTATTTATTGTTAAAAGAGATAAAAGAATCAAATATTAAATCTTGCATTACAACGGTTTCTAACAAGCCACTATTACCAGATATCGAGGTTATGTCAATTCCAGATTGTTTAAGGGCGGTACGCAAAAGATTAGTGGTCTGTTCTTTTTAGCTGCACTGCTGAACTAATGCAATAAGTTAGAGCAGAAAGAAGCATGAGAGCGGTCACCAGCCTGAGGGTGATATTACATGAAGCGCGGAAACGCGGAAGACTAAATCTTACTAGATTTCCGCGTTCCGCGAATTGATCATTTCTTCCCGCACATTTGAAAAGCGAGAAAGCGAAAGGCTCAAAACTTTTCTCTACTTGTCTTTTCATCCAAGGTACCGAGGTATGAATTCCAAAAAAATCAGGTCCGAACGTGTTCGAACACGTCGTAACGGCAGTTAGGCCGGAATTTGTGACAATAGATTTTGATGCGCTTGTTTCATGACTTTATTTCTCCTTATATTACATGGAGTACAATTTACGCGGAAAAGCGAAACGGTTTGGTGACAAATAAACATCTATATTCATTTCTTAAAATTGTATTCACTTAATTTATTGCAATTTTTATTAATATGTTTATCTTTTCAGCTTATCTGTTGAATACAAACATTTTAATTAATAAATACCGTTAAAAATTAATAATTAATAATTTTATAATTCCCCATACCTCTTTTCCATACCTTTCTTTTCCCAAAATATGCCTCATGTAATATAAGGCAATCAAAACAGACGCGGAATGCGTAAGAAAAAGAATTCTTTTTGCATCTAAAAATAAACTTAAAATTGGTGACATACGACTCTGAATTCTTTGTGTTTCTGGGTTATTGGTGACATTGTCGTTAGAAAGTTACAGATAGGACTGCAGAGGTCTTAAGAAATGAATTTTATATACAGAGAAATGTTTTATATCTGCTTAATTTTTTATTCTCTTCAATAATATAAAATTACATACGTTAATAACACGAAATGTATATGTTACAATATTTCACAACGTAACGCGTGCTCAACGCGATTGTGGGTTACGATTGGGAAACGGTTGGGAGAGACCATTGTTTCGCTCTCACTTAAACGCGCAATTCCATCGAGTTGGTGACGATCGCGGGCGGAAGTATCTGTACAATGAGACGCATTTTGATTTTGTAACAGTTGGCTGCTGAATAAAAACAGAATCGCTAGAATTCGACCGTCTCGGCGGAGACTCGATTATTCGCGTTATTCGCTCCCGATTCGCACAAGATTCAGCTCAAGACACAAACAAGAAAAAGAAATTTGAAGCTGGCGGCAAAAAAAGAAAAGAAAGAAACCAGTCGCGCACATTGTGTTGCTTGACCGGCGTAAATTAGATATACTTGTATAAATAGTATGAGAAACTATATTACAAAAATATACAGCGTCGCTGAATCGACGCCACCCGCATCTGTATTGAATTCTTTCAACGACTCTCTTTCTTTCTCTCTTTTTCTGCGTTTTCTTACCTCTACACTAATTACATAAATACATCTTATTTACATCCTTCGCGCGCGCGATTTGTGTTAGTTGGCTGCGTACACAGTGTATGATTACCTCGATATAAAGGGATAATATAACTAATCGGCGGATGACAGTGATGTCGTTCTTCTTCCTATCTCACTCGTTGACAAATTTTACACTGTCTCTTTCTGTCTCTTTCCTATATATGTTTTGTGTGTGTGTGTGTGTGTTGAGTGATATTTTTGGCTTTTAACTGAACGGTTGATTATGATTCGGTAAGACCTAGTCGAAAAGTGTTACGATCAAATTAATCAGCGCAATTCCGTTTATCACCAGGCTTCTATACACAACTGAACTTGACACCTGAAAATTTAACAGCGATGTGAATTATGAAGTGAGGATATCCTTCCGAGACGCTTTTTGCACATTCGCGCTTTCACAATGACGCTAATAATAGTTTGTTTTACGTTTACAATGAAACTTTCTTTATGCCGATGAGCGTTTTATGTTTGCAATTACCTGCGATGTGAATTTGTTATTCATAGCTGTTAATTTGAGGGCGGTGTGCATTTTATTGGACGCTCTCGGAATCGATACGCGCTCTTTTATTTATTTATTTTTTTTCGTACGGATATATTTAACAGTCTAAGGTAGTGTTAAAATATGTGTACCATCGTCACTGGAGTAGCAGTTATGGCAATGAAGCTTATGATTTCGGACGCGTACGTCTGTTCCCATCAATCCATCGCCAAGACGCACGTGGCACACGCAACATTTGAAGCATTCCATATGATAAAACAACCGTAGACTCTCAATTATCATCGCGGCACCTCGACCTAGGGGATTAAACAACACAGATAAGATTGGGTTGATGCTAAAGTGACAGAAACGTCAGATATAACGTCTTCGTGCCCACTCAATTACCTAATTCCTCTCCACAGTGCGAACATTTTTTCTTTCCACTCACGCTCAGCATTTTCTCTTGATTTCCGCCGTTACTTGCTATTGGCGTATGTTGCGTTTTTTGAGGCGGTAATGCGTACTGCGATGGTTGATGCTGTATGGTCGAGATGTGCTCTTGACTGTGCTCCGATCTAAAAATGCAAAACAAAGATTCTTCGTAAGTCGCACTGACAAGCGCTGCTCTACATAAATAGGATTCTTATTTCGTATTATATTCTATCTTCCTACATTTAATTGATAATTGATTTCAACATGTTCAATTGAAAACCGTTTAATTTATCATTGGTCGGAACGAATTCAATTAAAGATTGTTCAATTGTCGATTAATATAAGCGAAGGCGATTAAAGATCGTTCAGTTAATAATTGAACTTACAAGTAAACCTAGCCAAAAGTTACACTCTAATTTCTTTCTAATTTGGCACAAATGTAGAAGTACAAAAAATATTTAGATCATATTTTTCATTTTGGTCCACTTTGAGTTCCACGGGCAGTTTATAGCTTTTGAATGTTCTCACTTCTATCATCAACAAAAATGTATAATAAATAAAATTGAATATAAGATATAGTTAAATAATTTTAACAAAATCGGTATAGCTGAGACACGAACCATTCTAAATTTCTTTAGTCAAGATTCCAACCGAAATATTTTAAATTTTTGCTATGAATATTACCTACAAAATTAATTATATCCTTGAGTGATTGAGCGCTCTTCGACTGAATTTGCTGATATTAATCGGTCAATTAAACGGTTTTTAATTAAATTTGTTAAGTTTAATTGTTATATAATTGAACGATTTTTTATTACGATTTCCCTTCGCTATTAATTGTCAATTGAACGGTCTTGAATTAAATTCGTTGAAATCAATCGTCAATTAAACATTCTTCGGTTGATTCTGCTAGAATCAATCGCCAATTAATTGAATTGAAACATATTTGTTCGAGTTAGTTATTAAATTGAGGAAAATTTAATTAATATTTTCACAACTCTGGTCAGAGTTCGTAAAATCATATGACATAAATCACAATTTGTGATTTATATACGAATTAATATAATTTTGTCTTTGTTATATAAATGTCATTTTATCATTGAAACATGCTTGTTTCCAATTTTCTACCAATTTACAAAGAGAAAGCGTAAACTATCGAGTGTTGTTACGTTACCTTCTTCTCGTCGAAAGAGGCTTCTCTTGCGTTTTATTTTGTACTCTTTGTGTTAGCGTTTGTATGATAGAATCGGGTAGCGGTTTAGTATCTGCCCGAGTCGGAGCGTTGTAAGGCACGGAGGTGCCAGTTACGTGTGGTTGGGATTTCCGCGCCGGTGATCGTTGATTTCTCTCATTAATCCTCCTATGTTCCGCCTCCTATTAAGGAAGTATACGTCTAAGATAGTATAGTGCGCGATAATGTCCATATCTCATTGTACATCACACATTATTAAACGTATTTCTACGATTTCACTCAAAACTTAACGCAAATTAGTTAGCTACGTTACAAAAATTTGAACAAATTTTTGTGAATGACAAAAATCAAACAGATAAAGGTATTTTGTTTCAATTGTACGGCTGTTTCTGTACGTTCAATTACTTATTCTATCGCGACACATTCTTTTGGCGAATTTAATGCGACTTAAAAACATTCTTTTGGTAAATTTTATGTGCTTTAAAAAAGCGATCAAGTCTAACAAAAAATTAATATCTATAAGTTAATTAGAAGATTTATAGTGATTCATAATTGTAATCTGATTCGCTATGAATGATATTCGTAGTGCGCGCACCTGAATGAGCCAATGTTGGTAGTTCAAATCATGAGCGCCTCTCGGCACATCGCTCTTCCTCCGCTGAACCCATTGATCGCCTTGGACGATTCGTGGTCGCGGTACCGCGCTCAATGCCTGTAAAGTCTGTCTGGACATTTGTTGACCAGCGTGGCTCGTGAGTGTCGTTGCCGATGCGCTCTCTCGAATAGATGCGTCTACTTGTTGAGGAATCGAGTCTGCCGACGGTATACGGCTATTTCTGTACATTCGCGTATGAAATGAGGAACAATTGAACAACGAGTCGTTAGTGTATTATATGGTACGATATGATTGTTTTATCATTATGAAAAGAGAAGATTATCTTAATTTTAATATATTTCATTGAAGCTCCTGGCTCCTTGCCGCAAAACTCTCGATTGATGACGTCTAAAGCGAGAAAATATACGATAAAAGTTCTTGCAAATATGTTAAAATAAAAAAAAGTATACCCATAAAAAAAGCACTTGCAATCGATCAGACACATCTCTGAAATAATTCGAGTACATTTCTTGCTCTAACAATTAATAGATTTCCGTAAAATTAACGTGACAAGCAATCTATCTGTTTAACCTACATTTTCTTATGATTTTGTCATGTTAATTTTACAGTTGATTATTGATTGTTAGGACAAAAGGAATATGTTCGAACTATCTTATACATCTGCTCGATTGATTGAAATGTCATTCTATGGATACATCTTGTTATTTTTACGTATTTTGCAAGAATTTTAATGTGTATTTTTTCGCTTTGCTGACGTCATAAATCAAGATGAGAGGAGAGGAGCTAGAAGACTTAACTAATTATTATTATTAGTTAGTTTAACTAGAACGTACAAACTGATATTTGGGAATGTAAATATATAAGTGTCGGAGCTTAAATGCGATGGATCTAAAAATCTAGAGTCTATCTAGAATTTATTTACCTGATAGTAACGTCTCTTTGTCTTTGATCTAGCATACGTGGTTTAGTAAGCGGGATCGGCGGTGGCGGTGGTCTTCTTCTTGGCGTGTCTTGAAACTGTAAGTTCGGCATCGAAGATCCATAATTCACCGTGGGCGTATGATACTTGTATTGTTGCGTGCTCTTAATGGAGCTCTGCGCAACGTCCTGCAAGGATTTCCACTGTTCCTGCAGCTGCTCCGCCAAGCGAAGCTGTTTTTGCTCGCGATAAGCTAAATTATTGCGTTGTCTCTTCAATTCTTCCTGTTCTAACTGTAGAAGTTCCCTCTCCACTCGTAACACCTCCTGAGTGAATATTATATACGATATTGCGATAGGGTTTCCGCCATTCTTATTTATTTATGTATATGTGTACATTTGAAACGCTCAAAGTTAATGTACTATTAATCTATTTGTGCAAGATACTGTTAAGTGAGCAAAAGAAGATTATATCAATTCGGGCTGATCTCTTTCAAAGATTAGTTAAGGTACCCGAAAGATACTTATTGTAGAGACAGTGAAGAAGAAAGAGAGGAAAGAGAGGAGAGAGAGAAAGGGGGGGGGGGGAGAGAATATCTCAATACAAATATTTACGTAAAGATTCAGTGCAAATAAGCCGCTAAGAAAGTGGTGAAAACTGTTGCCTTACCCCGGAAGGAAATTCATCTTCGTTGCTGCTCAACCCATCACCGACCAGTGCCTTGTTCTGCGAATAATTAGCAACGATCCCTCCATCAATATTTACACTACGTTGTATAACCGATTTGCAGCATACTACTACTGAGTGATCGAATCCTCCAGGCGTTGTCGCAACAATGAACGTGACCGCGCCGAGATTTGCCGGTGTATAAACACAGTTATCGGCGAGCGGATAAACGAGACGTCAACGAGAATAAAGATAACATCGCCTGAAGGATGATAACATCTCCAAGCTATCGGTTAAGAATGCGTGCTTCACTAAAGGAAATCTGTGCACAAATCTCAAGTTGCCCGCAAGGAACGCAAGTGGCAGAGAAACTAACGCCGCAGAGAGTAACACACATTCGAAAGACAACAGAGGCCTCGCTCTAAATTCAGTATCTACGTTATAATGCCGGTTTATCTTTCCTCGTTAGTGTCGCGCGAGAAACAAAGCTGAGAGACTCAGCCGTCTCACCTCTTGCTCGCGAATCTGACTCTCCATCGTCCGGATGCGCATCTCTTCTTTGCGACACGCATCAGCGACTTTTCGCTCCTTCTCCTCGATCTCGTTCTGCATCCTCAGCTGCTCCGACTGCATCGTCTCGAGCTCCTCGTCTCTTCGTTTGTCCCCGGTGTACTTTGCTTCCTCCTCCGTTGCCCGCGCTGCTTGAGTCTCCCGCTGTTTTGCCGTCTCATCGTGCTGCTGTTGCTGTTGCTCCTGCGAGGAGTCCTCCTGCTTGCGCATATTGTCGTCCCGCTTGCGAAACGCGTCCTCGTTGCAACGTAAGATCACCTCCTGCGCGCGTTCTCTCTCCAGCTGCATCTTCTCTTCCTCGAGCTCGCGCAATTTGTGGGCCAGTCTTTCGCCTAAGTCACTGCCGCGTCATCGATGTGTTATTCGAACGATATGTACGGTCTCGTGAAGACTTATATCATAATTTTTTTCAACTTATTTCGAGCATCTTTTTGGATGTCTCTTGAATTTTTGCGTATGAGGAGATTATAGGAGAAGAACAATGAACTGTTCCTACCTGTTGAACTCGCGATTATCTCCGTACCGCCACTGCTCCTCCTTCTCGAGGACCTCGATAATCTCCCGCTCTTTTTTGGTGATCTCATCCTCCTCGGAAGAGGTCACACTGGCGCCGAAAGGCTCGCTGCTCTGTCTGCTGTGCTGTGACATGTCAGGACTGACAGGCTGTTTCGTCCAATCCTCGACATGACCCAGTTCAACCCCAGAGTCTCTCTCGTGACTCGAATCTTGCTCATAATTACTGTCTGTGTCGAAGGAACGACGGTGAAGTTGTTCAATGCGTCTTTCTTCGGCAAGGATAGCCGCCATGTCGGGTGGCTTGGTCAGCGTCAATACGGGCTCGAGATCATCATCGTTGACCTGCTATTTACGCAGAACGCATATTATTTGAAGTAAAATCTATCAAAAGACCTTCTGGCAAAAGAATGCGGAAAAACTGCAAAGTCGACAATCGCGAAAACAGAAAGGAAGGAAACGAAAAGAGCTCTTAGGCTCATATCAATAGTCGTTACTTGAAGTTTATTTCACGTGAGATACTCAGATTTGAACTCAGAGTTAGATCTGAAGTTCTCAGTTATACAAGGTTGCGAGTAATTATTTTTTAAATTAATTATCGTGTGTAATTTATGATTAATATAAACCGATTCAATTGAAGACTGTTTAATTGACAATTGATCTCAATAAATTCAATCGAAAACCGTTTGATTTACGACTGGTTTCAACAAATTCAATTAAAGACCGTTTAATTGACGATATGAACAAAGGAAATTAAAGATCGTTCAATTAATAATTAAACTTAGTAAATGAAAGAATTATCCACGAAACAATGAGTAATCGAACAATCTTGGATTGAATCGATTGAATTTGCTCATATAAGTCGTCAATTAAGCAGCCTTTAATTAAATTTTCTAAATTCAATCGTCAATTACACGGTTTTTAATTAAATTTACTAAGCTCAATTGTTAACTGAACGATTTTTTATTCTTTTCGCTTATATCAATCATCAGTTAAACACTCTTCGGTTGACTTTGCTTGAATCAATCGTTAATTAGTTAAATTGAAACATATTTATTCAAATCAATTATTAAATTGAGAAAATTTTAATTGATATTTTCACAACTCTGATGTCATACACGGCATTATATTCATAATCGCGAGTCAACTGGAAAAACTCGCATCTACATTTAAATTTGACTATCTTACTTGAAACAAGTTCCAAGTAACAATTATGAATCATATTTCAACAATCATATTTCTAATCCTCTGAGAGCAAACCGTTCTTTGGTGACTTTAATTGCAAGTGCGCATTTAACAAAAAAAAAAAAAAAGGAATCCTGTATTTTCGTTTTCGTATTTACCCCCTCGATGCCGAGGAAATCCGAGCGTCTTGTGCGCAACTCTTTCTTGATCCTGCGAGTAGAGTTTAATCTTTTGAGCGGCTCCGGGGGAGGATTCTCATCGTCACTGACGTCCACCGGTGGCGGCGGTGGTTTCTCCTTGGGAGGTTCCACGCTCGTCAGTGGACTCAGAAGGAAAGGTTGACCGGCGATTATCTCCTCGTCATTGGACAAGGTGAGCGGTAGAATCTGCAAACGCGCCACAGATCAATCAGATCTCTGAGTTTCTGTATTAATAATCCCTACTTGAAGTTTGTTTCACTGAGACATTCAGACTTTCACTCAGAATTAGATTCAAGTTCTTCAGTCGAATTATGCGATATAGTGACATTGTATCTGCAATCGCGAATCAACTGAAAAACTCTCATCTAACTCGAACCTGAGTGTCTCATTTGAAAGTAGTTTCAAGTAGCGACTATTAATATGGGTCTGAGAGTCTCTGTGATTTCCATTTTATCTCGTATTTCTACTTTTCTCTATGGCTACCGGTTTCCATATCTATAGAAGAGATCGAGCAACGATCTGGAGAAGTTGCTGGACGGTCTACCAACCTGTTTGGAAATCGGTGAGGCCGGACTCAGGACGCTCGACGTGTCGAGCGGACCAACTTCCTGTTTGGCCAGACTCAGGCTCGTCGGTCTATCCGGCGGACTAGCCGTCGGCGCGACGACTGCGGACGCATCGTGCACGTCGAGGTCGGCGACGCACTTCCTCGTGGTGGCGGGCAACCCGACGCTCATCGGCGTTTCCGTTTTCTCGTGCTGTTCGTGTTGCTCGTGCTCGACTGTCGAAGCCGCCGGCCGGATAGCGGTTGCCTCCTCCTGGTCCGCTTTCTCGACGACGATCCGTTCCTGAGGAGACGAGTCGTAGTGTAGCTGCGAGTAACATGGTGCACGTAAAACACAGGCCGGTCTCGCACCGTGTGCCGCCACGAATTTTGCAACGCTACATTCTATGCAAATTGCCGGATCGTCTGAGGCACAGCGTTTCTCAAACCCGCGGAAGATCGCGGATGAATGACTGAATTTTGATTAGAAAGACGGATCGCCTGTCACGACACTCTGATAGGTGACGGTTGTTGAGATGCTTGACACGTGTGCTTCTTCGTAATTTAATTAAAGCCAGTCACGTTAAATTCCCGACACGGGAACAGATGTGAGGCTGCAAACGTCCGGCAAACGTGAATTTAATAATCATCAGAAAATCGTTAAAAATTACTTTAACGGCTTCTAATGTTCAATAAATTATCAGGAAATATATTTTTTAACGCTAAATCGACATAACGATCGTAAACAGAGATGTGAAAATTATTAGAATAATTTTGACTTTTTTATTTTTTTTTTCTAATTGTTCTTTTCAATAAACGCCTAATTTCAGGAAATATTACAATTTGTTATCAATATATCTTATAGGTTTAAAATGATTACAGATTTGTATTATATATTGTGCAATTAAATTATATAAACAATGACGGATATATCATATATTACATTCTGCTATAAGATATATTTTGTATGTAAAAGTAAATTCTTTTATATAGGAAAATTTATTTTTGGGATATAAACCTTATTTCTCTCTGTGAAAAATAATACGTCATTATATATATTTATATAATTTAGTTGTACAATATGTAATACAAATCTGTAATTATTTTAAACCTATAAGGAATATCGATAATAAATTATAATATTTTCTGAAATTAGATATTCATCATTATTAAAGAATAATTAGAGAAAACTAATAAAGGAATGTAAATTGCTCTAATAATTTTCATCTCTTTGTAAAATAGAAGTGATATAGCGTAGAATTTATCAGTCGATAAGATCATTGCGAAACGCTTACTAAGCCGCGATAAAATGATAAAATTGCATCATTTTTTTCAAATGAAAATTATGTTCTTCGAAATTTCCAAGTGTTGTACGTTCGCTCGTTCGCGATGCAGCTCGGACGTAAGTGTTACATCATCAAACGGAATAACATAACGTGTGTGTGCTTCGACATCGCGACGCCATTGTCACGAGCATCTCTTCCCAGTGCAGAAGTTGCATGAAAAATGTTGAGAAAACGTTTCGCGCGCGCACTAGGTGTGCGATTCTTGTCGTGGGAACACGCGGGCGCATTTTACCAGGTCGATGCACGTTGCGTAATGTTGCGCGTCCGATGAATCTCGCCGATCTCTACGCGATTGCGCGTATTCTTCTCTATCGTTTGACGTGGCTGTGTGAGAAAAGGCACGAGTGTGACGTCGTGATTTTAATAATCGATAAGAGCGGGTCCAAGAAACACTGATTTCGAGTAACATTAATGTTTATCGAAAGCAAAACAATCGTCGCATGCAATCCTACCAAATAAATCCGATAAGACGTTGCAAAATTTTCGCACATCCGACGGTGATGATTGGTTTGTAAAATACTTTAATAAGTATTGCATATTGATGCGCTGTACATGATGTATACGTGATGACATAAGTGGGTATATCAACTGATAATCATCATTACATGTGATTTGCAAGGTACTAAGAAAATATCTATCGATTGTTAAGAAAGCATGAATCGAGTATTTCGCATGCATTGTAATTTCATTAATTAATTATTATTTATGGAAATAATGTTACTCCAATAGCTCTAAGATTACAAAATAATGGAAAGAACAATATATTTTTCAATGAAGTTTTAGCAGTTCCAGGAGATTGTAAGGCAAAATGAGTTTGTTAAGAATTGGTTGAAACTTGCATTACTTATAAATTGAAATGCTAATATAATTGCTGGTGCAAAAGATTTATTATTTGAGAGTTGAGATATTTGAAATTAAACAAGTTACTTTTTATATATACGCCTTGGGGTTAGTGTGCTATTTTTCATTTTTGTCTTTAATTTATTGTAAACTAAAATTAGGATCTTAACGAAAAACTATTATGATATTAAAGACTAATTTATCGACATTATATCGACATAAATTTCAAAATTATTGACCGTTTTGTTTGGAAAATACAGCAGAGTGAAAGATTTATAATTTATAACACTCGAGATATATGTATATGTATTTAAACACTTATATATCTATTATCTCTGCATTTCTGTTGGATCAACTGATACTTAAATAAAGCATTAATAAGAAAAATAAAATATTTATAATATTGTGTATATATATATCCATCTCAACTTCGTCTCAAATTGACATTTATTATAACGGGATAAGAACATATAAGAACGTAATTTTGTTCAATAAATAATAAGTTTATGAATAAATCTCTTGATATGTCACTGAGCCTTATACAACCTCCTCAAATACTAAGAAAGCACTAGAAAAATTGTCAGTTTTACAAAAATAAGATTAATTTTTTAGATGTCAACCTACATATACTTGAAAGAAATTTAGTTTCCAACAATTCCTGTCATTTCTACCTCTCTGAAGGCAGAGTAATTCTCCACTAAGAAAAAGAAATTGTCGCACTTTTATATACAATTAGCATCATTCAACTAGTATAGCTCATTCGGAATTTTTTATCGCGTTTCGAAAGCGGACATCTTTAGCTTCTCAGAGACTACAAGCGTACGAGTCGGTGTAACGATTATGCTCTCGCTGGCGCGTTTTCACATATACTGTGCGGCTAAATTAAAAAAAAAAAAGAAGAGTCCCACTTCGCTAACACAACCGTTCGGTAGTACCTCTTACCTCACGAGTCATATTTGCAAATCGCATGCAGGGACGAGTAAAAACGAGGGAAGAAACTACGTTCACTTTCCCATTGCAAGCGGGTCTCGTGCACACGCCTCGAAAATTGCACAGCCACTAGAAACCGTTATCTCAGGTGATGACGGACTGGTTAAGGCGTGAGTTGTGAACATACTGCGCGATAAGGCGCTTTTCGGTGATTGCGATAAGAGAGATATCTAGTCTTCGTTATCGGGGCTCGAACTCTTTGAACGGAATGCAGGTGCGTGCGTTCTAACGTGGAATTCCTCGTTTTATTTCTAGATGAGATTGATAAGGAGGCAATATGATCAGGGTCTACCTTACGTCTAGGCAAGTTCAACGAGGCCCCGATACTCCTGGGCCTCGTATAATGATGTACACACACAGAAAAATACGTACTGCACTCAAATAGATATTACTTGTTTCAAGTATTTCATAAGCTTATACAGAGTATTTGACAATTCATGACATATGCGTTGTGTACAGGTAGAACTAATCAGACTGAATACCTCTACTATCTCGCAAATAGCCATGTAAAATGTTGCATTTTTATGTCGTGCATAAACCATATCATCCATCAATTTTCTTTAATTAATAATCCAAAATTTTATGTGGTTACTTACGAAACGGTAGAGAAATTCAGTTTGATAAATTTTATCTGCATAACGAGTGTGTCATGAATTGGCAGACATCCTATATATCTGAACATCTATCATAAGCTCGTTATAAGCATCAAATTTATTCAAAATATATTTTGAATTCTAGTAAGTTTAGCATTTGAATCAAGAATATTAAATTAAAACAAAAATATATTTATTTTTTATTTTTGTTTATTACATCCAACCTACTTTTTCTTCAATAAAGTTTTATCAAGAGAATAAATTTTTCTATTATATACAAGATGAGCATTATAAAATTTTATGATTTTAAGATTATTATCAAGAAAATATTCTTTGTTGAAAATGAAAAGAAGAAAAGTAAATCAAGTAATAGCTTTTGTCTACAATTAACACATGTGTCATATAATAGTCTCTCTCTTTGAAAAGTTTTTACAATTCGGATTTACCCTAACTTAATATTTCTTCTCAGATAACTTAAAAACTTCTTATTCATTTTTTCTCCACATATGGAGCTTAGGTAGTATTTTATTTAGCATTTCGAGTGCTTTGAAGATAGACCTTGAATGAATCGACGTGCTAACCACACAGCCATGCGTGTTTCGTGAAACTGTCATTCGCTCTGGGTCTACTAAAAAAAAAAGAAAAAAGCCGTCCGTCCTGACGCGGTATATTCTTCGGGAATGACACACAATTCAGGCAAATCACTGCTCGCTCGATGCAATCAAATATAAGTGACGTCTTACCTCTTCAGCGCATCGAGGACGAGACACGGGAAAAGAAGAAAGCGATCGCGGTCCGCGCCGAGAAGCGAGTGACTGACTGTTGATGGAAATATCATTGACGACGTCGCGACTTGTAGGATTTTTATCGCGATTGGTACGAGCTCTTTAGTAGCAATTAAATACCACTGCGACTGACCTCTGACTCTCCGCGTCACGAGGACGATATATCTTTCGTACTTTGAACATACGGTTGTCGCTAAAAGTGTGTATTTCTGCACCCTGTTAACTTCGAGATGTGAACTGCGTCGAGTTTTGCATTGATAAAACGCTCCTATCATTCAATCTTTCATACCGGATATCACGGAATTGATTCATTGGCCGAGATGTATATAGAAACACATTTCACATATATTAATTTATAATTAATTTTGTTTATAATAATTTAAAATATTTATAATCGAGCTATATATATATATATATATATATATATATATATATATATATATATATATATATAAATTGATAATTAAATCAAGCTTGAATCTATTCTTATGCTCTATTTAATCTTAGCTGAATTTGATATCTTAAGAGTCCTGGGTACTCCCCGCGGCCATATTGGATCGTGATGTCAGAGATGAGAAATGACACTCTGAAAATTCTTGCGTGCTATTTTCAAATTAAAAGATATTTGAATGAAAGAATACTTCAAATCGTTTTCGAGTATACTTGTAAAATACTCTGTGCTAACTCTATTCTTTTCCCTTGACAATAAATAAATAATCGTAAAATTAACACGATAAAATTACGAGAAAAGATAGGTTAAAGAGGAATGTTGTACATTACATTAATTTTACGACTATTTACTGACTGTTAAAAGGAAAGGATAATTTTTAGAGCAATTTACAAGTATGTTGAAGCAATCTCAAATATTCTTTTATATAAACATTTTTTTACTTAAAAATGACACGCAAAAATTTTGGGCATACGTTTTCTACCACTTTTGACGTCAAGAGTTCCGTGGTGAGAGACCAGGACCAATTTTAAATAACGACTTAATTATTAAAATACTTAATATAAAAAATTTAGAAATTGCGGAAGGATAAGTCGACTGTAACTTCAAGAATGCATCTGCCAGTTTGTATCAATTCACCTTTCACGTAAAAAAACTTCCCATATGTAGTAATAACAGTTTTCAGTTAGTTAGAAGTTAGAGTGATAATCTCAAGAGCTCTAAGGATCTTGTTCACATTAAACATGAACCGAAAACACGTGACTGTTAATCGGACGTGTGAGAAAGGAAGCACGACACGGCAGATTTCGCTAGCCAGTGTATCTTATATTTCATCGTTGCTCGTTTTCTTTATCAGTCGACTGCTACAATTCGTGACAATCAGTCTTAATTGCACGTCGGCAAGACCTTTTGAAGTCATTACAAGACCGTTACGAATAAAGTGAGCCTTACACTCGAGCGTGGAACATTCCACTATATCGTCGATATTGTCTCGATTGATAGTTTCTATCGACTCACATAACTTTGACTTAAAGAGGCAGATTACTTTTTCAAGTAAAGAAAGTAACGATATAATTAAGAATTTATTTAAAGAGAACTATTAAGCGAATATATTTTTTAATTTTATATATGTAATAAAACAATATATTTGTATTAAACAATTATTTATGATTATTTCTGTGCGGAAAAATAACATCACGACATTTATTGCTTCTAGCTTTTATACACTTCTCTGATTTGGATGATTTGTATAATAGTTCAATGAAAACGATGATAAATAGTGTTGTACTCTAATCTCTCGCGGGTTAGAATTTTTATTTTCATATTAGTATTTTTATGTAATAAAACAAAAAAATTTGAACAATAAATTTTAATTTCTTCCTCAAAGAGAATCAAGAAATTCAATTGTTTGAAAATAAAAATTTATAATTGTTTTTGTGCGGAAATGACGTCACAGTATTCATCGCTTGCTCTTTGGTTTGCATAATATACGTTTGTACAGTCTAATGAAGAGCATTTCATACAAAATAGTGCTGTACTTATAATTTTTTTTAGTAAAAATTTTTATTTTTGCTTTAGTTTGTTTTTATAAAATAAGATGCAAGCGAATTTTAACAAGAAATTTTAATCTTCTTTACAATGAGCCATGCAATTCAATTATTTGAAAATCTAGCCCAAGAGATTATAATTACACACGTAACACTATTTCTAAAAACTTTTTTTTATTTTTTTATTGCACTATTGTAAACATAAATCATGTAAAACAAGGAGGCTGTAGGCTCGGAGGAACAATGACATGATTTGCACACAAAAAATAACAATAAATTTTTGTGTTCAAATATAAATATATTACTTAACTATATATAAAAAATTTGAACATATTCATTTAGTAGTTTCCTTTAAATAAATTCCTGAATGTCGTTACTTTCTTGTTTTGAAAAAGCGACTTCCCCCTTTAATACGTGACATTCGGCGATTTATGATAAGACGAAGAGCGATTGAACAGCGTTATCACAATGGTTTATTCTCTCTCACGAGCGACTTCAGCAACGTCAGCGAAACTTAATCTTAGCTCGATCCAATGTGTCCCCGTCCACTGCCAAAACCGTAACTCTTGACAGAGGACGAAGTCGAGCCATGATTAAAGTCGATCGATGTTGTCGAAGCTGGCCCGACGATGGCATCTCGTTGAAAACGGCATACGTGTTGTATTTAATCGGCAGTGCTCATAGCGCCTGGCTGTTACACGTCGCGGACACATCAGTCAGCGCGATTGTAAACTTTATTATCGGTCGCCATGCCGTTAGAGAGTGTAGTAGCCGTTATAGTTATAGCTTCCGTATAGTATAGCCCGATCTAACTCTACACAGTACCGGAGATTATCTTATACCTTCGCACCTGCGTCGCGTCTATATACACGATTAGCCGATGATGTAGCCTCACGTAATTCTGCACACATAAGCGCACAAACGACGTAGAATGTCGCCGACTCGTGCTAATCCTCGAGGTAATCCCATCGCACGCGGGATCCTGCCACTCTCAGAGGACCAAGGAGCAGAGCTCTCGGCAGAACTGGATGACTCTTGTAAAAATGTGGACGTTCTCCAGCAAAAGCTGCGCGCGTACGATCGCTCAGTGGCAACTGACACGTTAACGTCGCGGTCCGAATTGTAAACAGCCGCGAATCGCGCTCGAAAATTAGTCTATGCGTCGACTGAACAACGGTTGGACCGAAGCTACTACAGAGGTGTGAAAATTATTAGAATAATTGATTTCTTTATTCATTTTTTCCAAATTCTTCCTCCAAATTCTTATTTTTTTCAATAAATACCTAATTTCAGAAAATATTACAATTTGTTATTAATATTTCTTATTGTATAGTATGTAATACAAACCATTTTAAATTTATAAGGGATATCGATAACAAATTATAATATTTTGTGAAATTAGATATTAATTGAAAAGAACAATTAGAAAAAAATTAATAAAGAAGTGAGAAAATTCTAATAATTTTCACATCTCTAGATTCAAAGACGACAGAACTGCTCCTGGAGTTCTCACTCTCTCTCTCTCTCTCTCTCTCTCTCTCTCTCTCTCTCTCTCTCTCTCTTTTCTCTCCCTCAGTAGCACGCATTCTCGACACTTCTCGCGCCCTACGAGTCCGCGTGACCCGAGATGTTAATTTTTATATACAAGATCTAGCACGGCTTATCTAGAGGCTGACCAAAATACAAGAGGACAATGACGTTTAGTGAGTTTACGAGTTGAGAAGGTCCTCGCGCGTCTTTAGGACTTTTTCGAGGCGTTGCTGGCTTGCTGCTGATCGTGCCTAACCTCGGAGCTCTGCTTGTCGTTGACGCGGTTCACCGTGATGAACGGCGTCACCGGCGGCGTCGTGGGTGTCTTGCCCTGAGGTACCACCACCTTCTCGCACACCTCCACCACGGTTCGACGTCGTTCCGTCGCAGCAGGTAGCAGCGTCGCTTCCTCGTGGCATCGCGCGCTCGCTGACGGGATTCTCGACGGGGACGCGGCTTGCTCCGTTGGACTCGCTTGCGAGGACACGGGCGAGGATTCGACGGTCGCGCAAGCGGGAAACGATGCAGCCTCGGACGTTCTCGGAAGCGAGCAGGCAGTCGGACTCGCCGAGGACTTGTTACAGTTCGCGGGATGACTCTTTGACGGCGAAGCTTTGAGAACGCCGGCGGACAGGCCGGACGACGAGGTCAAAGCCGAGTCGGAACTCGTCGGCGAGGACTTGGCGGTTTTCCGAGAGAGCGGGGTGGGAATCTTAGACGCGGCGCGGGCAGACGCGGGCTTAGAAGTCGAATTGGATTCGGGGGAGGGACTGGTCGGAACCGTTGTCGCTCTGACAGTGGGAAACGTTAATTGGTAAGTTTCCGCGCTGCTGATGTCCGAGGATGGCAGAGACTGGAATTGCTCCTTAGACGGATTCTGCCGCTTCGCCGGTCCGGCAAATTTAGATCTCGCTTGCTCAATGGAGAGTTTCAGACTGGCCGATACTATAGACTCGGTGGGGCTCGGTTCCGACTCTGCTTTGAGCTCGGCGACGTCTTTGCCGAATGCGCGCGCTTTCGAGAGATTTTCGGGGGTCGTTTCTCGCTGAGACGTCTTGGGACATAGATGGGTAATCGCGCGAGGCACGGAGGTATGTGAACGAAGTGTATTAGAGTTAGTAGTGGTCTCTACGTGCGTCTGCGGCTGTGATTTGTTAGTCGATAGTTCCCCAGAGATGTCAGCAGTACCCTACAGAATCAGAGAGTTACAATCCAATTTATAGTTGTCCAAGACCCATAGCCAGAAGAGAGAAAGGAAGAAAATAAGATCTGTGGCAAGAGAGAGGTGTAGGCGCAGGAAGTTACTTGATTTCTCGGATGCAAATATATCAGGGCGTACCAGAAAAGATGTATCGGTTAGTAATTGCAATCCCGAAGTCACTTGGGAGTTTAGAAAATCGAGCCAAGTTACCACCACACCGATAAGGGCCCGTTCTTTTTTGTCCGGAACCAAATAAATGAATTTTACCAATAAATAAGGAACGTTTCAATAAGTATTGAGAGTGAGGATTACGTCTGTAGATTCACCAGAGTTTTAAATATTTGGGATTTTGTTTCATATTTTGTTTGGTATCTTTGCTTGGTTACTTTGAAGATCTTTACAAGACTATTCTAAAAGTACCTAAATGATAATTAAAATGATGACCTCTTTTAAGGCGTTTACATGATGCCATAATGCCTTGAAGGCCTTTATGTGATATCATAAGATACTGACAAAGATAATGGACAAAATCTCAAATTTCTGGAACTCTGATGAGTTCGTAGATGGAATCTTCACTTTCAGTACTTATTAAAACATTCTTTATCGACCAAAATGTATTTGGCTTCGAACAAAGGAGAACGATCCCTTGTGAGAGAGAAAATATCTAAAAGGTAAAACATTTACTCGGTGGATGCTAATAATATATTCACTTAAAGCAAAATCTTTTTATTTAAATAGAACAAATAGATTCCGTGAAAAGCTACAGTTTGAAGAAACTACGTTTCTGCTTAGTGTAAAAGTATGTATATTCTTCCTAGATATTTTTTCTCTCAGTGCATGGGCCAAGTTCATCGTAACAACACATTTACCGTGCCGTAAAAGGTGCAAGACGAGGATCGCCGCAACAAGGCGTAATTGTTTCTCGCTCTATACGGAACTGTAGCGCGTTGGCCGTGATTGGAATCGACGTAATCGCGGTGATACGCGCTAAGTGCGGCGTGACTTCACTTACCTTGTTCACCGCTACTGCCTCCCGATGACTGGCGAACTGGTGAGTCGTCGTGGCGACTTCGCTCGGAGTTTCGACCGCCGTGCTGCTCGGCGTTGACGTGTCCTCTTGGACAGGCGTGGGCTTGACCCTCTCCTCGGCTGCGGTCTCCCGTCGCTCGACGATACTGCTGATGTGTACGATCTCCTCGTCGATCGGCTCGTCCGCTTGGCTGACCGAGCAGCTCACGTCCGCGGTATGGATACCCGAGTCCTCGCGGTCCGTGTCGTTGAGGAGTTCCGCGGATGACGACGAGGCGGGATACCGTCGACCGTAATCGAGCTCCTCGAGGCTTTGCACGCGCTCGAAAGTGTCAGGCCCGCTGGAAGCGTCGGCGTCCAGAGAATCTAAGCTCCTGTGGAAGATGGCGCGTGGCACGCGATACTCCGAGTCCGGCGACGAGCTCCTCTCGCTGGGCGTCGAGGTGTCGATCCTGTTCTCCTGGTCTCGGAAGCAGAGCGCGTGTTTGTCAACGGCGGGCCGTTTGTCCGTTGAATCCTTGCTCCTGGCGGCGTCCAGTGCGCTGAGGCGATCTTTGATCGTCCTAGCACTGAGCTCGCCGTTATGTCGGGACTCGTTCGTCGTGGTCGGCACAGACGACTCGTCGCTGCTGCTGTACTTCTCGAGGGTAGAGAGTCTCTCCCTGAGAGGCCGCACCGTCTCCATATCTTCCGTGCTGAGCTTGCGGTGAACGGAACTCTTGCTCTCACGCTCCGAAGCTTGCTTCTCTAAGTGGGTGAGTCTCTCCCGGATCGAGCTCATGTCGCCAGATAATCGGTTGAGCGTCTTGCTGCCACTTTTGTCGCAATTCTCCGTCTCGTATTTTTGCTTCTCGAGGCTCGAGAGTCTTTCCTTGATCGACTTCGTGCCGGTGAAATCGCCGGAGAGCCTGTTGTTTGCTTTACTGTCATTACTCTTCTGCGACGCCTTCTCGAACACCTCGCGCCTCTTCAGTATGTCCACCTTCACCACCGACAAGGGAGACTTACTGTCGTCGTTCAGGCTCGTCTTCGAGCCATTCACCGATGATTTCGCTCCCTCGAGTTTGGAGTCGATCCCGGTCAAAGACCTCCTCGGTATATTCTGCGACACCCGCGACACGTAACCGCGAATAGCGCCTTCGTATGTGTACTCTTCCGGTTCGGGCGAGCTCGTGGTCGCGGTAGTAGCGGAGTCGTACTCTTGATTGTGATTGTGAAAACCACCGAACGCTTTTCTCGTCGCGTTAGACATCACCGTTGACGTCGCAGACGCCGTTGTTGTCGCGATGACAGTCGGCATCGCCGCCGTCGTCGTCGTCGTCGTCGTCGTCGTTGCCGTCGCCGTCGTTGTTTCCGTCGTCGTTATCGCCGCCGTCGCCGCCGACGTCGCCGCCAACGCACTCGTTACCGCGGCTGATGTGCTCGCGACCGTCGTCGCTGTCGCCGTCAGCGTCGTGGTGGTGATCATCGTAGATGAGGCCGCATCGGTAAGGTTGTCGACATCCGAATGGCTCTTCTCCATCTCGCTGTCCCTGTCACTCTAAAATTTGACGAGTTGGCATGACACTACCCGCGAGAGCAAGCTATTTGTCGAAATAGATATATGCGAATTCCTTGCAGAATAAGAGACGTATCTGGATTCTTGACTCGCGACGTTATTGCAACCTTTTTCCCGTCGATTTACTATTCGTTTTATATTTTCCGCACAGTGAATATGAAAGAATATTCCAATCAGAGAACATTTTATAACTTAAAAATAAACAAAGAAGAACATAGAAGCGATTCTGTAAATTAATATTGCAAAAAACTAAGTCTTGTTGACTTGGCTAAAAAATAAAGATATTCATAAATTAAACGACAAATCCATAAATGAAACATGAACAGATTTTTTTGATCATATGATCAGAAGCTAATTATAAACTCTGCCAAGAGTTACTTTTAAGAGATTAGATTAAAATCAAATGACATATTTTTCGGGACTTCGAAGACTTCTCAGATAACTAATTGTGATATACAAACATAACAGAGATTACTTTTCTCTATGTTTCTATGTCCGCAACGATTTTGTAAACTGTATATTTAATCGTATATTTATACCGTATATTTATTCTTGTTTAATAACCAAAATACGAATATGCTGCAACGTAGCCAACTTGCCTTGGTATCGGGTAAAAGTGGCTGGAAATTCAGGCTAAGAAAGCTACATAATATATGTATCCTGATTAGTAGTTTTGGAGTCTCCCCGCAAAAGATTTTAACAATGTTGCCGATCCTTAAATATGGACCAATTTTACACTTGATTTCAATAATTTTATGAGTAAAAATTGTTTTTATCACCCGGCAAGTGTATCATACATTTACAAAGAATTTTATTCTAACTAATAACACACATCACAAGTTTATTTACTTACAATGAAATATCAATAAACTTCGAGACACACACACACGCTTGAAAGTGTATTTAACTGATTCTAAATTAATTTTTCTACTTTTTAGACTGTAATATTATTCCAATTTTAATGAAACTCGGGGAATGTACCTATGTTCTAGAAGAAATATTTTGCGACTTCGTTTCATTGTTCCTCTCGCGACAAATACATAAACAAAGAACATGGCCGACACTCTTTTGGGCCAATTTGCGATCTAAACTTTTCTACTATGTTATTAAGGAGCAGTAAATGTTGATATTCGAATGCATGCTGTGCATGCTTACCAGAACGCTGTGCGTGTCGTCGTGTGTGTCGCCGCTAACAGAGCTCTTGCCGCTACTGGTGCCGATTCCAAGATCGCTGAGATCGTTTGCATCCTCGTCGTTATACATGGCCAAACTGATGCTCAGTTTGCGACCTCTGTTGCCGCGCTCCTCCATCATCTCCGAGAAGGTCTTGTTCCGACGGCGTTGGCGGTCATGCTCCTCTAATTCTAGTTTCTTCACTTCCACCACCCGCTCGATTATATGCTCCTGCCGCTTCCTTCGGCTGCTCTTCCAGTTGTCTAAATTCTGCGAGCACGACGATATTTTACTTTCATCGCCAAATAGACATCCACATTCATGTTTTCGAACGAGATCTTACCGATTGCCAATCTTCAGGATCATCGCGGACCTCTTGTTTGATTTTCTTCACCTCTTGAACCTTCTGGAGCTGCTCCTGCGCGGTTCGGTATAGTGAACATGGCCCGACTTTGACGAATTGTAAAGGATTGGTCGCTTGCTTAGGAGGTGTTTTCAAGGTAGTTTTCAATTTTGGCGGTTCGTGTGTCAGCTGCTACAGAATAAAAAATCACTTCCAACATCTCTTTCGTACGTGTTTGAAAAATGTTGTGTGCCAAGTCTTCCGTATATGTATTTTTAATACAATTTACAGATTTTAGTCTCAGTTGTAGTTATTCTAGGCTTGTTTAATGCTGGAAAATTTTATACCTCATTTCCATAAAATATAAATTTAATACGTTTAGGCTTTTGTCAATTTTAATATTATAGACTTGTTTTACGCTGAAGAATTTCATAGTTTCAATTCATTTCTTATAAAATACGCTGAATTTTTATGAAATTTTATGGTACGTTTTACATAATCGGCTAGAAAGCTACACCGATTGCAATGACGAATACTAACCACCCTATCGTTTCGCCGCTCGGTTGCGGCGGTTTGCGAAGAAGGCATCCTTCGCGCTTTCCTGCTTCTTTCGCTTTTTCGAGACACTCCTCCTTTTCAGTGTTGAACGACACCTCTTTGCACGGCTCGGCCCATCCTATGTCCTGTTCCTGCAAAATATAAGCACTGAAGGTTAATAGGGAACGACTTAAGGAGATGCTGAAGCTGAAAACTTTACCGACATTTTTCTGCAAAGTTTACGTCGAATTGGTTGCACAGAATTACAAATGCTTTTACGCAATGAAAGTACGTGTAGAAATAAATAGGAGCATTGGTCGATATGTGACGAAAATAAACAAAAAATTTATAATGTAAAAATTTCAAGCTGTCAGCGTAATATTTGCCTAATCCAAAAATCCCGCAGCTTGTATATACCGAAAGTGTGTAGATGCTCCAAACAAAAAAATATAAAAAAACTGCTCTACCTTCGTATCTGCATTTGGAAGCTTAAGAATATCGAAAAGCAGAAAGATTTCTACATATATATATGGTTAGGTTTTCCATTGAATATAATAAAACAAAGCAACGTACATTTATGTAAATTCTGTATATACAAGAAATACATCTAACGAAAAACAGTTAATTAAATGACTATATTAGTTAAAATTCTAATTAAAGTGGAGAAAAGTTGATGCATTTAATCTTCTCGGTTTAGTAATAAACGGATAAAATAAAAAATCGAATCCTTACAAATAGATCTATTTATTTTTTATCGTGAACGTATCAGGTGATAAACTTTCATCTATAGCAGATGGTCGCCTTGAACGCACGAGAATGTTTATCGTTTCGCGCATAAATATTATCACATTCGGTTTATGTTTGCGCGTTGCATCCGTTGCGCACGCGTGTTATTTCCGAAAGCATTTTACCTCAAAATGCGTGTACTATTTCCTTCTCACTGTATATTGACAAGTTTGACTAATTGATTCGTATTAAAAAGAAAAAGATAATAACTTTGAAACATTTCAAAATTATTTGAATCATATTTCTTCATAATTAATCTATATCGCGATAATAATGTATGTGCGTTTCGAATCGAGTGCTTCACACACGTAAGAAAATATTTTAAGTATTTTAGATCTTCCAATTTCCGCACAAAAGTGGTTCTTAAACATTTTAAAACGACATGAAGGGACACTGGATACCAACATAAAGCAGCTTTCTATTTATTTTTCTATTTTATTGTATAAAATTGTAAATACTTACACATAGTAAAAATACAAGTATTAATGTATGACGGAGTACCTCATGTTATATAAAAAACAAAAAAAAAAAGAAATTTTTATAAACAAAGATTTTTGAAGTTTTTTTATATATGTGGCTTCATTCATTGGCATTGTACTTTTATTCTATATGTATCTATAAGCATCTGCAATTATATACAATCAAATAGAAAAACAATGTAAAGCACAAAGTTGCATTATATCGGTATTCACGCTGAGAAAAAAATTGTAGACAATTTGTTTGTGGAATATAAGGTTTATTTACAGAAATAAACTTCAATTCACAGAAAGTAGTATATCAATTTTATTCATACTTCAGCTTACAGCCAAGAAGTAGGGACTTGGTTTACAATTTAAACTTTAATTCATAGAAAGTATAAATTTCAATGGCTCCATGTTACATAAAAAAATAGAAAAATATTTTGTTTACGAAAATTTCTTTTGAAACTTTGTTTCTGGAACTGTTGAAAATTGATTTGTATAAAGTTTATTTCTGTGAATAAGCTTTATGTTCCACAAACCAGATAAATAAATGTCCAAGTGTTTCTTTCTTAGTGTCCAGCATCCTCTTAAATCATATTTCTTTTGACGATCTTGCCAATATCTTGCCGGCACGGCGCGTTCGAGATGCATTTCGCTGATAATGGCTGTACATTCGCCGAGACGCAGAGCTCGTCGCGTCGGGGTCGTAGACTCCGATACGTCCGATCGTATTGTGCCGCGGCCGACCGGCTGATAGAATCCTCTATGACGCGCGTGGCATCGCGATCATTTCATGACACGCGGTCGTGCGTACCGGTGCATACAAACGCGCGCATCGCGAACGAGCAACACGACGACGATCCGCTTCTCTCTCTCTCTCTCTCTCTCTCTCTCTCTTTCGCCGGCGCGGAGCGATGAGGTGCGCCAAGAGCAAACAAGCCTTTCAAAGCGATTCTGGAGCGAACGGCGTGGAATGTAGTCTTCGAGGAGGAAATCGACACGAGGATCACGAAGAAGTCAAGGCTGGATATTTCTGTCGCTGCCGCGGCTCGCGCACGTAACCGTCTGTGTTTTCCACCGGTTTTATTCGTTTATTTAGATACCCGCGGTTTAAACTGTAGCCAGTCCGATTATCTCCGCTCGTTGGACTTTGAATATCTTCAATTTCTTATTGACAGATTGTCCCAGTGCGCGACTGGCTTCCCTATCATCGTAGGAATTTTACAAAACTACATTATTGTATAACGCGAATGGATTATCTATCTCTGACAATTCAAGGAACAAAAGCAATATGTGAGCATTGGTCATTAATGAATTCACGTAACACAGATATTATGAAAAATAATTATAACCCTGATAGAAAGATATACAGCAGCCGTCCATCTATATTATATTAACGCATTTTCATTAGTTGTAAAAACACTATCCAGAAACTGGATAAGCACTTGATAGAGTTTTATTCATTGATTGAAGCAGTTTACTATATAATATGTGAACTGACTCTTTCAGAAATATAATATCAGTAATATTAAATCAGTTTTTATTATACATGTGTAGAGATATTATAATGTCTATCGTGAGTAAATTTAAAATTTATAGTAGAGTACAATGTGTCATTACGACATTTTGAAGTTATTAAAATTCTGTTCAAGTTGATAAGCATCTGGTTAACCGAACAAGATTTTTTGTTGACCAGAACTTGCAACTGTTTCAAACGTTTGGAACAGGGTGTTATCGCGACAATTGAACCAGAATTTCTGTTATCAGAATCCTGTCCAAGTTAATAAGCTTCTTAAGCAAACCAAATTTTTGATCAACCAGTACTTACAACTGTTTGGAGTTGGAAACGTTTAAAGCACAATGTAGAGTGTCATCGCGACGGTTGAAGTTATCAGAGTTTTGTTCAAGTTAACAGATTCTGGTTAACTTAAACGGAATTCTGATAACTTCAATCGGAATTCTACTTCGTTCATATTTTTCGTTCGTTCATATATTTTAACCCAACTAAGTTCTTTTTTGTTACAAGCAAATTTTGAATGATGAATAAAACAATTTCTCTTGTTAGAAGAGCCCGTCCAATCGAAATTCTACAATAACCAAGCAACAGTGGACCGAATCCAATCCCCTCGTGTTTAAAAGCATATTGCATCCGGAGCACAATGTAGGGTGCGACGGATGTCTGCGGAATCTCAACTGCAGTCGCTTACGCGTTCTGAAAATATCGTGGCTGCGTGGCGGTCGCTACTTCGCGCTCTTTGCGAGCACGTCTAAAAAGCCGCGTGTGAATCGTGGGGTAAATCCGCCAGTTTGCCAAAATAATGTCGTATTTTTCGAATTTTATGAGCACCGACGTACTTCCTTTTTTACTTCCTTCTTTCCCGATGGCGCGCGATCCTCTTCCCTTTGTCCCTAACAGTCAGTCGCTCTCTCCCACTCTAATTCGTCCTCGTGTCATTCATGTTTCCGAGTAAATCGATGCATCATGTTCTCCTAATCAAGCACTTATGGCTGTAGTACCCTGAGTCGTAAAGTAACGAAGTAACGAAATGAAACGTTGTTGAGGATTTACTCGACTTCATTGCGAAGGGTGTAATTCTGTCTTTCCTCGGCATGTACTAATGTTTATGGCATGTTATCAGGAGTGTTACACAACTGTTCTTTGTTACGATTGACGCCGTGCTGCCCTAGATCGATCTTCAAGTTTCTCTCATCGCCTTGACAACAGACACTCACTGTTGCGTAATCGCGACGCAATATACAGCTGTCGATTACCTATACCGGTGCGAATGTACACTACGCTCAGAAGAGGCATTGATACGGCGGCCCCGGTTTGAAATGACACGTGAATAAATATTTCCATATTAAGATCAAAAGTAATCATCTGTCTTGAACGAGTCTCTCTCTCTCTCTCTCTCTCTCTCTCTCTCTCTCTCTCTCTCTCTCTCTCTCTCTCTCTCTGTCTGTCTGTCTGTCTGTCTGTCTTTTTCTCAGCGCTGGAGGGGAGTCTCATAGCATCTAACATATGATGTTTTTTTTCTCTCTCTTTCTCTCTCGTGACGAGCAGATGGGTAAACTCGTTAATCTTAAAGCGTCGCGCCTCCTTATTCCACGTCTCTATATATGAATACTTGATTTTATTTTTTTTCTTTTTTTGTTCGTGATGTCTCTTCGCGAGAAGAGACGCTGTAACATTTTATGGTGCGTAAAATGATTGCTTTATGCCACCGAGCTCTGTTGGTCGGCTTCGCTCTTTTATTAAACTATGTCAGGGTGTTTTACGGTCATCGAGCACCCTGGTCATCGTAAACCGTAAACGCCAACTCGTGCTGCTGCTCTCATAGAGCATCTGAATCGTCTACGGTTGGTGAACGTCGCTCGTGTATCACAGAGCCGCTTTCTACGTTACTTTTTATTGCCGCTTATCGCGGAGATCGCCCTCGACATCTTCACGCGTCCGTCGTGAAATCCGTCGGCTTGTGTCATAAAAAAAAACGAAGTTACGTAAAATAGAAGAGGAGGCAGCATGCGCGAATGCATTGTTATCAGCTCTTAACTGCGTCACGCGCAGAGGCGTAGTATGTCGGCGCATCGTTGAAGCGATTCGAAAGTCCGACTTTCCGCTTTTGACAATTGAGACGTTACATTACGAATCGTAACAGATCGTTCCTGCGCATTTGCGCAGACCCGATTTACCGAAGCAGAACTGTGTCATCGTCGTCGTCATTGTCGTCGAGGGAAAGTCACACGCGTCGCGCAAAGTACACTGGTACATTGCCACATTGCGCCAGAGATAAAAGTCACCGATTCTCGCTAATTTAGACCCGCCGAATTCAAATGTGGTGAACAAAATGTTCCATTAGTACACCACACTGAGAGAAATTATCGGATAAAAAATTAACAAACGG